GATCCAGTCAAGAAGAACTGATGGGACAGGGAAAATTGAGAGCTTGTTGGAGAGAACTTGATTAAGCACAGATACAGCAACTGGYAATCCCTTGGAAGACAGGCAAACCATGGAGGAAGAGTTAGTGCAACAGTGGTGAGCAGCCGGGGATGCTGGAGTTCATGGCAAGCCCATAAACCCTTCCCTTCGCCTTTAACCTGGGAAAAGAAAGACCAGGAACCCTGTCATGAGAGGAACTAGAGCAGAGAAGGAACAGTAAAAACACAGAGGGAAGATGTGTGCCCAGGAAAATGCATTACATTATCTGCCTTTTCTCTGCCCTGGGCCCTTATGCCAGTCACACACCCCTAATGCCCATGCTGGTCTCTGCAGAACAAGCCACACGTAACTGCAGGTCTTCTTGTGCACGGCCACCCCTGGCCCCTCGCCCCAAGGGCTTTCTGCACTATTTAAATGAGAGTGGAAAATGCTTCTTTCAACATTCATTAATAAGTATTTTAAGCTTGGTCAAGACAAACAAAAAATAAACCAGCCAAGAGCACATAAATACACGTCCCAGGAGAAATCACCACAAGGAGCACGTAGGGCAGAAGCGCCACACACGAGCATTGTGCTGGGCCGATTTCTTCATGCCGAAACTTGGCAGGGAACTCGCATTCCGCTGTCTGTCCTCCCTGCCCTGACGCTGGAGAGGAGAGGCCCAAAGAGAGCAATATGTGAAGGCAGAGAGGTTTGAACCCTGCGCTCGCGGGGAGGAGAGAAGCCTCGAGCTCCTTCCAGTTGCTCCTCCAGATGGGGATTTCTTTGTGCACTACGTGGTGCACGAGGGGACCGTGCGCATATGTTCCTAGATCCGAAGAAAYAGAATAATACCAGTTATTCCCCAGACAACCATCGTTCTAGGACTAAGAGACGATGCAGGTGATGCYACGGAGGTTTTCCTCTGCCACTCACTTCTAGCCCTGAACTCAGCTTTGGGGGTGAGGCCGGGAGAAGCCAAATTCCCCACAAAGTTTGGAGGCAGCTTCCCTGTGGTTGCAGCTCCGCTCTGCTGCCCTCCACCGCAAGTGCCTGGCTGCAGAGGACGCGCTCTCCCCCGCCCAAGAGCTTTCCCTGGATTTTTCCAATYGTATCTGTGATTCTAGATGAAAATTCATCTCATCAGAGCATCTCCTGTGACACTGCAGTGCTGCAATCAAGGACACTGGCCAAACTCAGTGGCAAAGTCAGCAGAGCAACACTGCAGAGCAGCTCTGCTGCAGACACACAGCAGCAGCTGCTGCCCAGAACGTGGCCCACGTGCTAAACGTTCCTATTTCCCACCCCAGACAGCTCCACGTGCCACCTCAGACAGCTTCTGGCACTGTCAGAAGCCGGAGGTGACAAACATCTCCGAATCCCAGCGGCTCTGGCTCCTGTTTCTCCACGCAACGAGGCAGCTCTGGCAGCGGCCGGGCAGCTACTGCACTTCATATTCCCGCCTGTCAGCGCTCCTTGCTGTTTCATGCTAGATAACATCCATACAGATTTTAAACTCTCCTTCCCTGGTTCTACAGACAGCTCTACTTGCAAGAYGGAAAATTACCCTCCTCCAGTTGCTGCTCCCTCAGTTTTAAGAAAACAAGTATGAAAGACACAAAAATCACCAAAATTCCAAAAAGAGCMAAAAAATTCCAAATTCCAAAATTTTCAGATGAATTTCAGAATACAACAAAGGCAAAACAGGCTACTGGCTTCCACTTGCCTTCGTTATTCTTTTTGTTTCTACTTTTTTGCTATAGCTATCCATATAAATCCTTTCTCCATGACTCGCTGATGTGATTATTCAGTAGAATTCCAGCTGCCACAGGCTTAATTTTCCTGTATCCGTGAGCCCTATCAGTATGAAAGTCACACACATCTGCAGGAGAAGCTAATTAGYTCGGTCCCCTCACCTGCTTAATGAAGAGCCACCAGTTGCACGCGTACAGGCGTGTGCTCCAGGTGCTGGGCATCACGTCGAGCTGAGGAAAGCTCCATTTCTACACCCATGATCGTACTTAATAATCTAAACCACACATATTATTAAAACAATCTTTCAAAGAGTGCTATGGGGGGAAAATAATGTCGGTGCATAGATCAGATTGCACGTGTGTCTGTTTCTAATATGAGAACACAGGTTTCRCAAGGCTGGGAGATGTTGCGCGGTTCGGCCCGAGGCCCGCGCGGCGCTCGGCTCCCGGAGCTGACAGCCTCGCACCAGCTCCTGGCTGCTTGGAGCGGCTCCAGGGAGCCCCATCTCCAGCAGGCCTCAGCTCCAGCAACCTCGGGAAATGCCCCTGCCCCAGCACAGGCAGCTCCCAGTGTCTGGAATGGCGCTTCTGAAGGGAGCACCCTGCACTGCCGTGCCTGTCAAATGCGACCGTGCGCCCCTCCGCTCCGATGTGCCAGGAGTGCCTTCATTTTTAACCTCACTCAGCAGTGAAGATCCCCATCATCCATGTGTTTGATAAGAATGGGCATTCTGGGGATGATAAAAAGTAAGAGTCTCAGCAGAGGCTGGGCCGTCTTCACTAGGGCAGGGAGCGGGATGAGCCTGGCCTTTCCTGAACGCAGCGCCTGGAGCAAGTGGGGGACATTCCCAGTGCCACCAGGCCCCGGTTGGGCACCGGGTCACACCAGCAGCTCCCTGTAAAGCGCTCTTCTCCGAGGGCTAATAGGAGCACTGGGACCCCATGTAACTGTGTGCCCCTCTTGGGGGAACAGCAAAAAGCCTTCAGTTCATTTGAATGAGGTCAGGCTTGAAAACAAGGGATTATTTTTTTTCTCTTCATAGATACACTCCTCCACACAGGATTTTTTTTCTTTTTTTCCAAAATCTACATCAAACAAGGAAAAACAAATGCTGAGAGGGCAGATTTCGGGCAATTTATCAAGGTCTGGGAAATAGCTTCCAGATGGATAGAGCTGTTTGGTGCTGGCTGGTGAGAAGGAAGCAAGGTATTGTTATTGAATTAGCATGAATCTCTGGTGGAGAACGGCTCGCTCGAGATAGAGGGCTCCTTTCATATGGCTTGCATTTGGACCTGTCAAATTTCATTTTTACTCAGAAACCTGTGGTAAAGACACAGGGATTTCTTTTTTTTTGKCTTATTGGATTTCGCCCTGTTTGTCCCCGTGCCGTTACCCAGGCAGTGTTACCCAGTGTTACCCGGTCAGTGTTCAAGAGTTTGCCTTTCTAAGCAAAGCTAATGAACACTCAGCTCTAATCCACATTAGGAATTGCTAATATAACCAGAGGCTTAGTCTCAATTATAGTTAATAAATCCTCTCTTTGTAAACTTAGCTTCTACCAATATAAACGCATCTATAGAACTGCATTTGCTAATAGAGCAATGCTGTAAAGAGGAAAAAGAAAAAAAAAATATGGGGAAAAGGAGACATATTCCTTTACATAATCCATACATAATATATTGGTTTTAATATAATTTCTGCTCCGAATACCCCGAATATTTGCTCCATGGCACGTGCCTTCTAGAGTAGGCCATACACAAACATCTGTATATTTTTCTGCTGGTTTTGAAAGCTTTTCTTTTGAAGTTACCCTAACAGTTACCTTGTCCTATCTGAAGGATTCAGCCTGGTTTATGTTATGCATCAAATTAAAATGTCTGCTCTTTGTTCTGTTAACCTGAGAAGATAAACAGCCAGTTTCCCCCTCAGAAAGACAAATCAATAGATTAAAAAAAAAAACCTGTTCACTCTCAGTTAAATGAATTTGTGACAAAACAGTCTTTTAAGATCCTAGTAAAGCTGGAGGTTGGTACGACAACGTGTAGAAGGATTTTCAAAAATGGGAGAAAAAAAACCCCACCAAATGTTTTTCCAATCATATATGACAATTGCTGTTATTTTTAGGAAACGGGCGACAGGTAATACATTCCCACCATCTGGGATGTATCTGAGGCACACAGAGAAGGGAAATGGTGTTATCAGCATCAACTAATTCCTAAATCCTACCTGGAATGTAAGACACGGATTCTTGTGCTCTTGTGCTCACTTCCCATAGGTTTTTTCTTTCCCTCCTTCCCCTCCCCACACTTTTTTTTAACAGTTTTAAAGTTTTTATTACTCTGTGCTTGATGAACATCTGCTTTCACTGACCATATCTGTGAGGCCAATARAAACACAGTCTACAGGATGCGACCTCTTCTCTACAGATCTAGTCTATAGAGGTCTATAGGCTACAGATCTATATTCTATAGATCTGAACTGGCAAGTATATCAGCCCTGAAACAAAGATTTGGTAGCCTTAAGCTCTCCTGTCACCAGTTAACTATGGAAGACACACATACAGCAATACTGAAGAGACTGTATTATCCCATGGCATGGTCTCCTGCCCAGGAATGGACATTACATGTTCACAACACTTCTACAGAATTTCAGGTGACTCTACAAACATTAGTGCTCATATGACAGAAGCAGATGATTTTTAATACTGTCTATGATCAATTATCATCTTTCTGCTAAATGGATGCAAGGTAGATGGTATCAGAACACCCTGCTGCCCTGGATTAAACTGGTCTTAAATTCTAGCCTGAATCACCTTCTCTTTGGCCTGGCAGTCTGCGAAACAGTTATTTTTGTGTTGGTAATAGAGAAGAAATGAAAAGGAATATAAAATCAACTTGTCATTTCATAAGCATGTTCTATATAACAGAATCACAGAAGAGCTAATGGTGGGGGCACCTCTGGAGATCCTCAAGCCCAACCCCTGTGCAAAGTAGGGTCARCTTGAGAAAAGTGGCTCAGGATGCATCTGCACGGTCAAAACCTTTCCTGTTACACAGGAGACAAACTTGTAGCTCGAGTGCAGCTGAAAGGTCACCCGCAATCTGCTCCAGTAAGAGATCTGTTGAGCTCAGCTGCCTGTAAAACTGACTCCTCCTGGTACAACAGTTATGCAAAGAGAAGGCACGGGGCAACCTGATTGCTTGCACAGAGCTCGGATGAGGTCTTACCTTGAAGCCAAAAGGGCAAGCGCACTGATAAAACTCCACTGGATCATTGCTGCACGTCCCGTTGTTCTTACAGGGGTTGGAGAGGCAGGGGTTACACTTGGACACAACGCTGATATCCACTGGCTCTGGAAAGGCAAAACATGGTGTATTAGCACAGACCCTGATTACAACATTACTACTTGCTGGTACATTTTTTTTTGCTCAGTATTCACCCCACGCTGGCACAAACACATACGCTGCTCGTGGAACTTTATACAACAGCACTGGATTCCCAGGGATTAGAGAGATTTTAAGTGCTTAAATCAAGTGCTGGCCACCACTCAATGATGCCTATATTCTCATCTGAACATACAAACATCAGCTCTGCAAAAACAGCCTGGAAATCTCCAGAGAACGGGCTTACATATATATGGTTTTCAGCATTTTTTCCTTCTGCCAGTGCAGGAAATTCTGCAATAGCAACCCCTAGGGAACAATAAGATGACACTTCTACGGCTGGTAAAAAGAATGAAAGTGCAGATGCAACAGCAGAAAGAAAAAACACGCGCAACAAAGACTTAGCTAGAGGTTTATGGAAATGGATAGGTGCAAAGTGTTCTACCATCCTCAATTTCAGCTGGTTTTAACACTTACATTCCTCTTGTTCTGCCCATAAAAAAAATGATTATCAACATGCACATATTTGGGGAAAATGCAACAAAGATAAATAGGTAGATATGCTAATTTATGCAGGTAAATATGTATATCCATATTTAAATCACTCAGTAAACCTCGTTTTGAAAACAGCTCCACCCAGCATCTCCGCAGGTCTACTCTGCTGCTTGAGGAACTCAAGACCCAGACACCAGCACAGCTCTTTTGCTGGATTTAGAGGTCACTAAGCCAGAATAAGCTCTACTATTTATTTATTTCATGTTATGCACACGCATATTTTCCATTTATTCCTATGGCATAGATCACAGCTAATCAATGTGGGAGCTAATAAGAGCAGTGTTAGTTCCTAGCACTTAAGTAGTTCATTACTTTGCCCTTGGGGATTTGATTTATAAATCCATACAGCAAAATGCCCTCAGCCCAGCACATTCCTTTTTCCTCTGCTGCATAACTAGGAGGGCAGTTTAATAAAAAGCAGAGCTGAGTTTGCATGACTTGCACATTGCATACTTCTGCTTTCTTGGCTCTGCTGAGACTCAACCTTCTGCTCAGTCAGAGGCCAAAATGATAATTTTAGCAGAACAAGTTGAAGCTTTTTTCTTCTTTCTCTCTCTAATGTCCAAGTTCTGGGAGGTCACAGCAGAAGATACCTGGGAGCTCCCTCCGGACCAGCCGTCCAGGTGCTGCTTGCAGCCGGGCTGGGGCTCCCTCCTGCCCCACTGACTCAACAGGGTTTTTCAGCCCATGCTGTGCTTGCAGCTCCTGAGCTGGGATTAAATCTCCGCAGGCCGATGGGGACATACCCTTGGTGTCCAGGCTGCTGGTGGCCGCGGTGTGGAGCAGCCAGGCTGTCCCTGTGCTGCATCGGGGCATCACCAACYCCTCTGAATGCTCTGAGGTTGGTGTTTCAAAACAGCTAAATACACTTGAAAGGGTAGGAAGCTCAGCTGGAGCTTGGGAGCTTGYGTTTTAAACCCACCTCGGCTCCATCACCTGTTTGTGCAGCAGTTTAATGGCACCTCTACAAAATAACCCTCCAATTGGCGCTGCAAATGTGCCCGCTCGCGCAGGTGGGAGCAGCCTTTGTGCCCTCACTTCTAGCACTAAGAGTGGCTGCTGACCCTTCTTTTGATCTATACACGATCTCCACATATTTGCCAGTAATCTAAGCAATCTCCAACCCTTCTCCTTTTACAGTAAGAGTACACAGGTACAGGCTAATCTGCATTCCTTAATATACTGCCTACTTTATCCCCAAGCAAGCAAATACCTTATCACTTGTCTGGCTGCTCTCTAACACAGCCTCACCCTTGCTGTTACCATCCCACACCTTTACGAGCTGCATCTCAAGCCTCTCCTGAATGTATACTATACTATATGTGGTATAGCTGACATAAAACATTTTCCATAACTCACAGGTCCTGCTGCAGAGCAGTTGGGGACATACAGGTGCTTGTGGATCTTCAAATGAAAATGTGCTTTGAGAAGTATCTGCTGTACAGTAAAATTCACCATTTCTCAGTTTTTGAGCGTATTTGCATAATAACTACAGAGTTCTACAGTTTTTAAGTAACTGCTATAAATCACCCAAACCTATCCAATTAATCCAATAAGCTGTAATGCCACCCTATACGTTAGCTTCCCATTAGATACCACGGTGGTTCGGGCGGGGATAGGGGCTCCCGTGGGYGCCTACCTTTGCACTGGAAGTGGTGGGTCGGCGTGGTGAGCAGCAGCCTGTCGGCCATGGGCTCCGGGCCGCTGCAGCGCGCGATGCCCGGCTCCTTGTAACCCGCCTTCACCCASTCCGAGAGCCAGCGCAGGCCGCAGTCGCAGTGCAGGGGGTTGGTGCCCAGCGCCCTGCGGGTGCAAAACGCTCAGCTGTGGTTAGCCGGCCTTGCAAGCACACGTAGCAGCCCCAGACTAACTGGGACGTGTTCCCTCTGCCCTTTTACAAGAATGTCTTACTCCAAAATATGCCTGAGGAACCTCCTGAATGGGCRAGAAAAATCTCAGCATCCCCGGCTTTTCCTTTCTTCTTGTCATTACTTGGGGATGCTGGATAAATATCTAGCAACAAATCACCATTTCCAAACAATGATGCTCGAGCAAGATCGAGAGCCTGTTACGTTCTCATCAAATTTACTGGGTTGGTTCTTCAGCTGTTTGGCCTTTGTGMGCATATTCTAAGAGCAAATGCCATTAGGTCGGATTGGTGACTCATGTGAAGTCCCCTCACTGGATGAATCATGTGCACAGAGGAGACCTTGGCTTTCAGAACTGAAACCTGGTGTCTGCTGAGTCTGTTTATGGGCTTTGAAAACACATTTGCTAGTTAACCCATCCCTTGAGTGGGGCCATATGGCTGCAAGAGATGCATTTAAACAGTGTAATTATAATTCACATAACTTCGTCATTATTCATGGAGCTTTATCCAAAAGGAAAAGCCTCGCTTATCTGCCTTAAATTTAGGTGCTGTCTTAGCTCATTTAGACTCATTTTTTTTCTGACAGCTGAAGTGTCTTTCGAGGCAGTTAGTCTTATGAACAAAGTCCATACTTGTAAAAAGGCAGTTTACAAACCATTTCTGGAAGTGTGAGAAAATGCACACTGGAAGCCTGCAATTATTTTTCTAAAAGTARCTTTAATGCTTCCCTTGTGCAACACTTGAATTGCAATGCACAAAGAAACCGACAAAATAGTTAAAAGAGAGGTTACAGAAAAACAGTAATCCAAATCGAGTCTTAGACTCCATTATTCATGCATATGTTAAAAACTATTTTTAGGACGGTATTTTCAACACAAGCTTCTTTCAAATAAAAATATCAGACAGGCTATTAAGATAGAAACCTCACTAAACGTGTTGATACATTTCTATTGGAGTGACTAATGAAAGCACCGTGCCCTCAACAGATTCATAATGGGAGTTCAGAGGGTCAAACCCTGTCCAGGGCTCATTCATCAAACTTAAGCACATTCTGCAGCACAGCACCGAAAAACATCCATCCATCCCCTCCGTAAATCCCTGACTTGCAAAGAAAAAAACCCTGCTGCAGTGACCGGGTGACTCTGATCAGCCAGCTCACGTGTCCCAGGGCAAACAAAAGGTGATGGAAAAAGTTGGATCCAGAAATCACCTTYATCGTGGAGCCACTGCAACATGTAAGGCAGGAGCGGGGGACATGGCTGGACTGTCTGTTCACGTTAGTTAAATCTTTGCAAGCACACTGGAAATGAAGCTGCTGCATGGACACTGGAATTGATGGGCAGGAATATTGTAAAACTGCAGATATTTTCACATGTATCTCATTCTTCTTTGCATGCTCAGGAATCAGAGGGACTTCTTGTATTTTCACCCATGTGTTGTGTCTCACACACTACTTCTCTGCCCATTATAGCAAAATATTTCCTGGAGCTAAAGGAAATCTTGTGCCATAGTGAAATACCAGCACCAGCATTTTAAAAACACTGGGCAGATACTTCCCTCCAGCCTTCAGACACTTTTGCTTTTTTGAGACAGCTTAGAACAAGRCTAATTAAAATAATTCTACTCATGATAACGTGGAGATGGAAAGAGCTGGGAGGGGGCAGCTTATTCTATAGGTAACTGGGCATAATCTGGAGTACAGAGGAGATGATTGAGCAGGATCTGAGCTGTTTATTGAAAATACATGTGCGAGAAATACCTGCTGCCACACACAGCTGGGTTATGTCCCCAGCACGAGGGGACGGGTGGACCGGGGCTCAGCACCCGGCCCAGCAGGTGTAGGGAGCAGCTTGGTCCTTCAGCTGGGCTCAGCACTAGTGTCACTGCCCTGGACCAGACATGCTGGTGGAGACACGGCYGGGCAGATGGTTGTGATAGAACCACCCATTTGTGTGACGGACAGTAAAGAGTAGACAGGAGGGGTATGTGAACGTCACTTACACTCCTTCCTCTGTGCTCAGCGATGTACTGTAAGGGAGTTTACTGCAATAGCTACAATARGACAATATGATGTTTGCAACGTAGAGGCAATGTGGGGAATATTTTCTCTTGGACTTGAAACAGCTCTGGAAACACCATCAAAATATCTAGAGCTCAAGTTTTGTTCCTCCGGTTACAAACCATGTTACAGCTATCGCAAAGACTGATTAAAAACAAAAGCTCTGCCTGGGCTGCAAACACATTTCTGGGAAATACTGAGGTCCTTGTGACCCCGTGTAAGTCGAGCTGCTGCTGAAGGCAGGGCCGCCCCCCAGCTCAGCAGCTGGTGCCCCTCATGCCCCCGCTGCCAAATTTAACATGAAATTAGCTGCCCCTTTAAGTGTCTGATGAGTTGCAAATTTCTGTGTTGTTTTCAAAACTATTCCAAGCCCCTGCTTTCTCCCAGAAAATTCCTATCTCAGGGAGAGCTCAAAAAGAATTTATTTTCAATTATACATGACTTCTTTTCAATAACCACAGATTTTTCTGGCATGTAAAGAGTTTAGTACCTAGCAAGATCCTTGCGGTTGCTACAAGTTTCAGATGATCACATTGCATCCTCTTTAAAGAAACTGGAGAGCACAGTTGCACTGTAAAATTCAATTGTTCAACTGTGCAAATTGCACCCCAGACAGGTCTTATTTATTTTATGGATCCTATTTATTACTGTTCATCTGAGCTTTGTGTATTTTACATTTCTGGCAGCACATACATCTAAACAGATAGACTGCTGTGATTGTGTCGGGCCAAAGGGGTTTTTATCACTCCCTAAGGTGAACAGTTTACCCAGGAAAATCGTGTCTGCACTTCATTTAAAGTAAACCCCGAGGAAAATCTAAACAAATGGGCCATGATATGTTTATCTCTGGAGCTCTAAGCACACCCTCAGAAGCCAGGTTCTCCACGTGAAACGTCCCTGCGCTTCCCGTGCAGACGGGGGCCTTCAGCACACTCAGGCTGTTGCTCCAAAACAACACGCAGAAGGAATTCACTGCRAGTAGATTTTTGTGCCAAGAGCTGTGTCTGACTTGGATATCAAGGTGCAAGCTTGAGATGGAGATGCGGTTAAGCTGCAGTTGCCATTTCCCAAGCTGTGGCAGGTTCCTGCTCCCACCTGTCTCGCCGGGCGTCACGCACGTCGCGTCCCCGGGGGCAGCTCGTCCCCAGCCCCTCTCACCTCGTGAAACCCATCGCTTCACAACCGACCAAGAAGCAGCCCGTGCAAAACTCATTTTCCTCGGCATCTATTGCCTAACAATRACAGTTTCACACTTCATCTCAATGAAGAAACTCTGCTTTTCCCGGGTTCTGGCACTGACTGTTACCCTTCTGCTTTGCCTTGCAACAGTTGCTATTTGTCTTTACATATCTTTCATGCACTGAAATGCATTTAAAAACACCCTGCACCTCCATCAGCAGCACAGTCATTTTGTGAAATACCCAAAACTTCTAATTTTTGTAACTTATGGAATGAAGTATTAATGGTGTGAAATGACCATTTCCATATGATTAAACATGCGTGTGTCTGAGGTAGTGATTCATCTACAAGTTCACATACAGACATCATCTCAGGATGCAAAACATATGACAYTTACTAAGCGCACAATTCACATTTGCTGAATATTTGCTCTTTGTGGGAGGTTTCCTGTCTCCCTTGCGGACTGTAACATGCCCCGCACTTCACGTGGACAAGGCTGAAAGAAAGCCTTGAACACCAAGTGCACCGAGGAGGAAACTGCCACATTTGCTCATTTGGTTTTCCTTAGGAAAACATTTGAGTAACTCATAACAACAGGTTCCAGTATTTATTTGCCTTGCTTTGAACAGATGCTGTCTGGATGAGGAGAGTGTAACGCAGAGAGCAGGAGAGGGGGGACAGGAGCGGGTGGGAACGTGCGGCACCGCGCGCAGCAGCGGCTACTCACAGGTGGGACAAGGAGACGAGGTCGTCGAAGGAGCCCTCGGGCAGGGTGGAGATGGCATTTCCGTGCAGTGTCCTGTGGGGAGAGGTGACGCGTTACCGGCACGCGGACCCACCGAGGGAGCGGTGGCCACGGCGCGCGACCGACGCTCCAAACCTGAAAGGTGACGGGCTAGTTGTGGTGTTAGGAGTGTAGGGCTGCCCTGCCGTGCAGGCCTGCGGGCTCCCACAGACTGCCCTGAGCTGGAAACGGAGAGGAAACAAGAGCGGGAAAATAGGAAATGGGACAGTAAAGAAAAACTGACTTCAGAGAGACCCTGGAGAGGGCAAGGCTCCATGAGGACAAATATTTCTAGGTAGTCAGAAGGTTAAACATTGGTAAAGAGCAATGCTATGAATTGAGAGGATTTATGAATTGAGAACATGCTTTGTAGAGGAACAAAATACCTCAATTCTCCAAAAAAAAAAAGCTATTTTCTGTATGTAGCATCACTACCCTACTACTTGTCCTCAGGTGCAGACATGCACTAAGAACATCCATTTGCTTCATGAGCTGTGGCCAAGCACYGTGCTCCAGCCTGGGCACTCCAGCCACTGGGTTACGGCTCCGCTCGCGGTGACGACACCAACAAGAGCACAGGTCTGGCCCAGCAACCTGAGGCCAAGGCCTGGGCGACCTCCTACAGCAAGTCCTGCAGTGCAGGGGCCTTCACAGACGGACCGGGAAACAAGTCATCCTCCTGTGCTGAAAACAAACCAACAACCCCAAACCTCACAGATTTTTAGTTAGGTCCTTCTGGTGCAGCAGCCAACAGCAAATAAATACTGCAAAAATTGGTTTCCAGATTGTGTCAGAAGGGCACGGCAGCAGCTTGGCCATCACAGGCAGCATCGAGTCCAGAGAGCTCTGAATGACCACAGTGTCTTCTTGTATAAATGTGAGCTCCTCCACAGCAGGATGCATCCATCCATTTTCAGGAAAATAAAAGAATGTTTAAAGCTAGTAGAAGTTTTTGTAGTTCATTTTACCAGGTTTTCATGAATAAAATATGGAAAATAGTCTAGGGAACTGAAAAGAAATTTCTGTTTCTTGACTTTCTTTCCTAATTAGATTGGACCCATATGTCAAAAGTTATAACATTTCCGCACCATAAMAATAACCTTTAAAATAATCAATTCAGGCCAGTCAGGGAGTTATAACATTTATAATTGCTTTGCATCTACTTGAGTTCTTTCAAACTCTATCCGCATTTAGCTTCTCGAAAGACTAGTGCTGCACAAGAGAATCACATTTTTTCACTGAAGTAGTTTTGGAGGAAAAATCTACTGATACCAACTTTTGCTCATTAAGAAAAAAAATCTGAAGATATTATGTTAAAACAGCTCAGCGTCACACTTAACTACACTTACGGATGAGCCACACTAAGGTTAAGATTTAGGTGTGTAAATCCTGATCTGCCTCGTCCTTTGTTGGGCTTGTGCTGCAAGTGAGTTAAAATACCCATGGGAGGACACAGAGGGCAGATTCAGAGATCCATGCAATTTTATCAACCCGTCGTGCTAATTTTGATTCTTAAATAACTATCTACTTTGTTTACTATTGATGGACAAAAAGGGAAGAGAGGGAAGAAGTGGGTAGCASAGGAGCAGAGAAGAGCTGGGTACCTTCCCAGCAAGTGAAAGGTAATGAGATCTCTATGTTCGTTTTATTGAAATAAATTGAAAATGTGGATTGTTTTGCTGATGTTTCTCCTTTAAATTCTCCTGGGAATATGGATAATAAAATACCCGACAATAACAGATTGCACACTGTCACTGGGAAGCCCATTTTCCCCCTGGAGAATTGATTTTTAATAACAAYGTGGATGACATGTGGCAAAAGTTGTAGCTGATACCAGAGTTTTGTGGGCCATAATAAATTCAATCAATCTGGAGGCTTCCAAATGCASCCAGTGGAGATGGAGACCTCCGCACTTGCGTGGCTCTGCACAACACAGGGAGAGCTTCTCCTTGGAAGGAGCAAGTTACTTTCAAATCTGGTTAGCAGGTCGTTTAAGAAAGACAAAAAATAGCATTTGATACTTAAAATATTGCCCTTCACTTCTATCCGTAGACGGCTTGCAAGAACAGAAGTGAAAAGACAAATTGTAACTATGGGAAAAGGTGAGACAGGATATCTCAACACTGTAATTCAAGGTAGAGATTTCCAAGCTAGCTTTAATCAAAAAAGCCTATCAGAAGCAGCAGAAGAGAGCTCCATATGGAATAATTTATTTAGCCAAGAAACAAGGTAAATTCATCTGTGGCTGAACTGCAGGTCTTATGTAACAGCTCAGATGTGGCCATTCTAGTGGGCTAGAAACCAGTGTCCCAAGCCAAACTCAAATCAACATATCCAAAAGACCTATCTTTCTTGTTTTTCTTAACAAAAATTGGGGCGTCTAAGCTGTCCTGTAAATTGGGAGGTGGAAACCCCAATTACTATTTTACCACTCAAATTTCTTATCCCTAAAGTATCAAAGTCATCCCTCCTGCGAGGACATAATTGCTTTTTTCCAAAGCTTACCGCTCACCTGCTCTAGTCATTACCGGACATATTGCGCCTAAGTACAAGTACATTGAAGCTAATGGTGTGAAAATATTTATAGCTCCTGAATGAAGGGAAAGCCATCTGCTCGCTGAAGCCCTCCGTGCCACGGGCAGCCCTGGAGGGAGCACAAGGCAGTCCGGTACTCACAGCACACGCAGGGACCTCAGCCCGTCGAAGGCGTGGACCGGGATGCACCGGAGCCTGTTGTAGCTCAGGATCCTAGGCACAAGGAGAAACAGAGTCACCCTATGTCCCCTTCAAGCATTTCAATCTAATTCAACTGAGCATTGGCCACGCAATTGCTGGCAAAGCCACCAGCATTTATCACTAACGAGGAACCTCCTCGTTGGTCCTGCTTAAGGGCCAAACTTGGACCTGAAAAGCAGCAGAGGGGGACGGCAAAACCTGGGGCTACTCACAGTGTCGAGAGCTGAGTCATGTTGCTGAAGGTGTAATTGGCCAGGACGCTTATGCTGTTGTTGCTCAAATCACTGAAAAATGCACACAGAAAAAGACGCTTACGGGAACTGGTTCAGAAACAAATCATTTTTAAACATTAAAACGCACCTGCGTAGCAAACTGCTGGAAGCAACTGAAAAGTCAAATATTGTCAAYGGGCATAATTCTTTCTAACAACTCAGAACAAACTAAAAGCAAATCCCATCAGAGCACTTGCTCAGGAAAAGCTTAGGAATTCTCAGTGAAGCAGATTTCTAGCATACAGCACCCAAAAAATCAGTGAATATCAGCAAAACTTYCCAGGCAGGAGGATAAATTAATAGATGATCCAATCCTGGGTAAATACTTGCTGGGGAGGGCTGCTCTGCAATTTATCAAGTGTACTATTTCCATATACCCTTCACTCTCGCAGCTACTGAAACAAGTTGCCTAAAAAGAATGGTCTCTTTGATATAAATATACTGAATAAAAGATGGGGAAAGCATTTGCTTTGGCTCAACTAGAAACAAAAGATACGTCAGCTTTCAATTCTAAAAAGTAATTTTGGCTCACGCAGAACATTTTTTGTTGTTGTTTTTCCATGCAAAATAAAATCAGATGTCTCCAAACAAAACACTGCTTTAAAACAGAAGACACAGTTATGTTTTTGGTCTAAGGTTCTTCTGCCCATTTGACCTGAGCATCTAGAGCTGACTGGAGGAGCAGTCAAAAACTTCCAATAAACAGTTCAGCCAGTAAAGCTGAACTTATTATGAATTTTTGGGAGCAATTTAGTCAATGGAGCCTAGTTGTTTCTCTGTTCATAGGACTGCTATTTGGTTTCACCTAAAGACACACGTGTTTCTTACATGAGGGTGAGGTGTCTGAACGCCGACAGCCCCTTCGGCACTGCGGTCAGGTGGTTGCCCTCCAGGTACCTGCAAAAAGGCACATTTGACAATCAGGCAAACGCACTAACAAGAGCGCCTGTCAGCCCACGGCGCACCGGGAACGAGGACAAGACAAATTGGAGTCGCTCACTACRGAAATTGCCTTTGATTCATTGCTTTGAAACTGCACCAGCCTCCCCTTTAAGTGAATTATCCGGCATGGAAAGCATGACAGCAGCTCAGTGGTGGTTTTGCTCAAGACTTGGAAGTGAATAAAGGCTCCCCAGCCTGCAGCAAGCACAAACCACCGCTTGATTCCTCTGAGAAAACAGCAGAAGAAGCAAAGGAACAAAAACCTAATGGGTTTTGCCTTTGGTGAAGATTAGGGACAAGAGAAGTTGCTATGAGGGCTCCAAGTCCTATGTGACCCCACCRGCAAAATGTTGCTGATGGAGCCTAATCCTGCAAAACAACCCAGTCCTTCCCAATGTCAGCAGSGGCATGATCCGATCCCAGGTGTGGGGCAGCAGGTCCCTGTGAGCACATCCATGCTCCCTGTTCTCTGTGAGGCACAAATCAAAGGTGTAAGTTCTCCTGGACACGCACATCTCCTACCAGCACCAAGACACTGAACAAAACAGCTTGTACCCGAAGGCTGATGGAGTCTGAAGCACCTTTAATGTGCGTAAGGAATCTCTAAACAGCAATACTGGGAAAGATAAATAGGAAACAGTCCCTATAAGTATGTTAAAATACTATTCTATTAATTTAAATTATTAAATCAATAAAGATTTTATCAACATGTACACTAGAATAAAGCGCTATGTTTTCGAATGTGATGTGATGTGTTGAAGAGTTTGGGGAGTAGAAAGTCTGGGCCCTTCCCCGTGTTCCCGGCTCTTGATTTCGCCTCCTTCGCTCCTCCAACTGGGATCCCCCCAGGTTTACAGCACAGGGGCTTTTGTGCAAACTAAACCCAAGAAAATTTTCCCACAAACTGTATTTTTCATTTTTACTTTACGTAAAAATAAAGAACTATCAACACTTCCAGGATTGCTTATGGGATGCGTGGCCCAATGCCACAATTCATTGCCCTCTCCCCATGCCTCACTTTGTGCTGCTTCGGCTCCTTCCTGCCAAACTGCTCCAAGAAGAATTTCCCATAAAATAGATCCCAGAATCTAACAGCAATAAAATGGCATCTTTTTCCTAAAATGAGTCAAGAGGAAAGGTGCCATCCCTGCCTGCCTCCTTCCTGCCTACCCTCGCCCATCCCGCAAGACACCCAAACGGATGCTGGAGCTGACCCTGCTCCAGACAGCATCAGGTTTGACCTGGGGGACTACAGGTTTTGTGAATTTTTATCCAAAGGCAAAACCATTCCTCACTGGAAACCCATTGATCCGATTAATCTCCCCATGCACAGAAATCACAGCAGACAGCAGGTGATGSTGTTATAGGGCAAACCATTAACCCTTGCTAGGAAGTTGTGGCCCCTCGGCTCACCCCGGGCTGCAGCTTGGATTTACACCTCCTTTGCACCCACATTTGCTCCTCCACAGGGATATTTAAATTCAACAAAGTAACTTGTTCCCTTTCGACTGAATTTGGTATAAATTATTCTGAAAATGATCTGGYGTAGTGCAAATTGACCTTCTATGTTTGTAAGTGGAAGGTCCCCAGAATAAAACCGCACATGTTCCTATTTGAGCAGAGCACCTCGTGTCTCATATCCAGGCACGGTCTGTGAGGGATGCAGCCAATTCCTGGGAATCTGCTCCTTCCTTTCATCCTGGAAAGCCTGTGAAACCTAAACTCGCGCATGTGGGCAGGGTCACGTTCCAGTGTTTATTCCAAAGGCAAGGAAATGAAAAGCAGGTCATGTACTACACATCTGGAAGCTAGTCGTGATTTCAATTCGGGAAAGGGGTCTCAACTCCTGCAATCCATGCAAACCTCCAGAAATAGACTTGCTGGGTATTTTCTCGTTGACCCCAATAGGAAACAGGCTGCAATTTCAACAAACTGCTGGCTAGCCAAGGGCTTTTTCCCTTGCTGCTCTCAGGTGCAAACACAAGTTGCAAGTGTACGACTTGCTCCACTGCTCTGCAGCGCTGCCTGTCGCCCTGTGGACACTTGAATGGGTTAACAGTGTGCTTGCAGATGGGGCAATATTATATGAGCACTGTATTTTCTGAGCAAAACAAAATTTTAGGCTGAAAAATTGCTGATTATATACTTTTCATGGATGCATAAAATCATTATGTATGTAAAAACACACACACGCACAGTGATCTAACTATGGCAAAAACTCTGGGAAAAAATCTCAAGACTAATGCACAGGAACAGCTTTATTTGTATTTTTTCCCAAGGCTTAGCAAAGAAAGATGATGCAGAAGGCATCTGGTATGTGAAGAAACTGTGGTATGAATGAGAAAATGATTTTCTAATTTTAACGTCCCGAGTCTAGCTATTAATATACAGATTGTCAGTGTTGAGAGTGGGTGTCAGTTGTTTTAATACAGATGAGCTGACTAGTACCCAAAACAACCTCCTTTGCTTCCCTAAACCTCCAGACCTTGTTGTTCAATATATCAGCTTGGAAACTGTCCTTTATCCCACGAGCGCTGCTGGGAATCCTGAAGGTCAACAAGGACTCACAACCATCAAGTAATTATCCGAGCCAAAAGAATGAATGGGAAAGAAGAAAGAAATGGAAAAATGATCAGAAATGTGCCCGTGGCCTCCTGAAATGCCCTGTACACCTCTGGGGAAAGGCTCTTGGAGCCTGCACAAGCCTTGGCATGGGAGACTGAAGAAGGAAACTGCCTTGCAGTCACTAACTGAAGAGGTGCAGAGCCTGCCCTTCAGCTTCTTTAAATATTTGCTGGAGAGTGTTTAAGGAGAAGAAAAGATACTTACCTAATTTACGTAGCTGTAAAATCAAGTTGGAGACAAAACATTTTAATGCAGATACCCAGTTCCCTGGGTTCTGAAGCAAGTTTCATTTCCTGATCCAGGCGGTCTCGGAGAGATCAGTATTTGAGAGCTGCCCTGTGAAAACCCACCGTGTGCTCCAGCCTCCCAGTCACGCCAGCTCTGGTGCTCCCAACCCCAGCCGCCCCATCCCGCAGCTCGGACTCCTCTGCTTTGCTGCAACTCAAACAGCCTCCATGGAACGGTCCGTTCTCCCAAATGGAATTCCTGGCCCAGGGAATTAAGCCGSGTGGGATGCCCTTCAGGAGGCAGGAGGCCTTCGCCTGAGCGTGTCGCTGCCTCTCATCAGGTCCCTCACTTGAGCATCAGCCCTTGGAGTGAGAGCAACAGGAACACGGATCCCATGAGCTAACGGGATCCCTCTGCTCGTGGGCAGCTCTCGTGGGGTGAAGGAGAAACGTCCCCCCACGAGAGGGGACAGGGCAAAGGCAGGTGGGACACCTACAAGTGGAGGCCACCAGAGGGAGAGAAAAGGCTTGCGAGGAGACAAAGAGAGATGACAAAAGTAAATATTAACGTATGCTAAAATAAATGCAAAGCAATCCCGAAAAGTGATGTATGGACACACACTTTTCTAATAACCCCATCACTGTAGTTCAGTGTCATGACAACATGTGGAGTCTAGCGACAACATCATTAGTATATATTTATTCTAAAATATACCATGCTCATTATGTTACAACTTGTACACATGCTGCCAACGTAATTGCCTCCAACTTTTTCCCCTGTGCATGCGAGTATTTGCTGTAGCTCCATAAAAACAGCTGGATGCTGTCAGATAAGACTTGATTAGGAATAAACCACAGTTTTGTGGAAAAAGAAAAAAAAGGACATGCTAGCACTGGCACGCTGAAGCTGCAAGTTACGGGAAAAAGCGCCTGGGAATCGCAGTCGGATAGATTTAAGAAAGGAGAGGAAAGGCTTGCATGCAAGCAGGAGTGAGCTGAGCTGCAAACTAGCAGGATTTTACCTCAAAAGAAAATGGAATTTGTGCTTGTCTGTGCAGTGCATGCAGGGCAAGGTGCAGGATATGAGCCGCAGCCTGCAGGGCACCATGCAGCAGTGACCACTGCTGGGGACAAGGACATGGGCACCGCGAGGCTCCCCACAGCGCAGGGCAGCATCTGCCCTGCACGCCTGGGCAGTAAAAGGTTTCTCATTTTAAGGCTATTTCAAGATCTCTGAAAGGACTTTAAAAAGCTCGTGAGAAGGCTACAGTCAGGCTTAATGGATTGGTCTCCTTAGGTAGGACCTCTATCCTTTGATGCAACTGAAAGACAGAGTCCTCTAGATGACGGACAACATATTTGACGAGTCCTCCAGATTATGGGCAATGTCTTCAACACGATTTGAAGCGGAGGGAAAACAGCTAAGACTGATTCTCTCTTTTTCATTTCAACCTTGTCACAGCTTTCAGAAACACAGGAATTTTTTTTTTTCTCTGGTACTTGAAGTTCATCTTCTGGTACAGAGACAAATAAGGAGCTCGGTTTATGTTGGTGGAAAGACAGCAGAGTGAGATCAGGCCTGAATGTGGAGACAGCTGGGACAGATTCAAGGTTGTATGTGCAGAACATGGGCAGTGCGGAGGCAGGCGGCGCACAGCTGAGTGTGTTGGGCTGACACATTTCTGGATGGGAAGCAGACAGCCCAAGGAGAGGCTGGCACAGCCAAGCGGCTCCTGCTGGAGAGGAGAGTCACGGAGACTCCCGTGAACCCCAGCTGCTCCCTTCCAGTCTGCTGCCTCGCCTGCCAAGAGCCAGCTTAGGCAAGATAGCAGTTTTCAAGAATGTGAGATTAACTCCACTCCTTGCCTGAAAAGTTGTCAGTGTATCAGATAGTATCAGAACACTGAAAATGTGAAATTTATACACTGAATAAGCAAAATTTAGACATAAAGATTCCTTAGTGTGGCAGTGGAAATCAAAGTAACATCTGTGATATCTTCCTGTTGGCAAACCATATTCAAAAGCAATAATGAGGCCTGAATCAGCTTCTTTATCATTCATGGGAATATAAAGGTAACATGGGCGGGAACTTGGCTTTTAATTCTGCTATTAACCATGTCCCGATTAACAGCAGTCCCAAGGATGCATTCATTTATGCAAAATATCCCTGTTACTCTGAGTTCCCACAGGCTTTCAGTCCACTCATTGAACAGCAAAGTGCATTGGATGGCAGCCTTGCAAACCCCCTTTCCCTGGGAAGGGAGCACTTCACTCACCAGGGACCTCCCTGCTCATCAGAGTGGTGCAGCAGCAGATTTTCATTTCTTAGGAATCCACTGAATGAACSAGCTCAACCAACTAACACAAATACATCCAGCAGAGTGTAACAGCTTCTGGAAACAACTCACCTGGGGTAGGTTTGAAGGAGGATGTAAAGGGCAAAGCACTGTATTTCTACAAGAGTTTAAGCCAAGCAATTCCCCCATTGCATCTTTCCACAGAAAGACCCCAAATCCAGCACAAATCCACCCCAAGTGGTAGCGGAGAAGCCTAGAAAGGAGCCAGGCAGAGTCACTTACAGCTCGGTCACCTCCTTGGGGATGCCTCTGGGCAGCAGGCGCAGCCCCTTGTTGCTGCAGCGCACCACGGAGTCGAGGCAGGTGCACTGGGGCGGGCAGCGCGGCACCAGCGAGCAGCTGCTCTCGTCATTGCCTGAAAAAGGAGGAGAAGGGAAGGGGAAGGGAAGGAGAGCAGCTCACAACCCAGAGCAGTCACCTGGGAGAGAACRGCGTGCAAGGACCATGCAGGGAGAGCCCTGAGTGTGGACTCAGCAGCCATCAGTACCTACCTGGTGCAGGTTCAAAATACTGGTTTGCAATTTCTGTGCCGCAAGCCCGCTTGGCACAGAAATTGCAAACCAGTATTTYCAAAGTTATTGCAAACCAGTATTCTCACAGAAACTGCAAACCAGCATTTTCAAAGTAACTGCAACCTCTTCTGGTTGCACCAGCTGCAATAGAGGACTTTACCAGACCACTACCTTCAGCTGATCAACACAGATGACATTCACTATCTAGATGGTGTAACAGGTTGGTTTTTTTTTAATAACACTTTCAGCTGTTAATTTGGTATTTCTTTTTAATGTCAGCCTTGCACTTTGTTTTCCATTGCAATTGCAAGCCGTTGTTGTTTTTGGTGAGGATTACCAGGCAAACAACAAGCGAAGCAGAGCACTCCACGCTGCTGGTGCTCCATCTGTGCACACGCGAAAATACTGAGCATCTCCGAAAGCGGATTCGCAGCTCCATAAACAGCAGATTTCATCTCGTAACTGAGGGACAATAAGGTCTGTGTGGCAGAAATCAAGTCCTTGAAGTTGAAAGCATTGAAGTGTGGGTTTCCCCCTGCCAAATAACAGGCTTTGCAGAACATAAGGCAGGCGCAGCCCCGCGCTGCATGTGAGAGGGAAGCGCCAGCGGTGCCTCCTCCCATGGGTGACAGTGGAAGGACAAGCCAAGGCACAACCCGTGAGCCAAAGCAGCACTGGATTCATCAGCTCCCTGCTTCTGCTGAAATAGAACAGCCTCTCCAAATCCAAAAGACTTTTCCAGGCAAGCATCATTTCCTCTGGCTTCAAAGAACTTTAACCAGTTCTGTGAATGAGGAAGTGGGAGGAAGGGCAAGGACTAAATCAGGAGCATTTATCCACCAGCATATGGTTGGGGACAGACTGGCAAGGTTTAAGGAAAAAAAATATCCTGATATTTAGGGGCAGATGGCAGAAATGCAGAAACTGGAAAGAAGAATAAAAATGAACTTTTAACAAGGAACAGTGATCTTCAGCTCTGGACAGACATCTCCCTCACTATTAAGTTGAAAAGTTCACTCTGCAACATTAACTGATAGGCAGGGAGACATCAACATTATCACAAATGCCCAATCTAGTCATATTTTCTTACCATCACAGGTGAAGTCCTGGGCATCCACATCCTGGATTGGAATATCCTTTAAGAAAAAAGGTTTCAAGCAGCGTGGATTTCCACTGACAATCCTCTTCTTCCTCAGCCATTTTCCCAGCCAAGCCAAGTGGCAGTTACAGTTAAAGGAGTTAGCCAGCAAATTGCTGAAATGGAAGGAGACAGAGTTGCATTGAACATGAACATACAGAGAGGCTTAAGCAGCTATCGAGAGACGATGGGTTCCAAGCCGACCTCCTTCCTGCCATCTGTTTCAGTGAGATCCTGCTCTGTTTTACAGATTAGGCAGCTTCCACACAGATTTTATTTTGGAATCGGGGCTGTAATTATAATATACACACACATGCATATATATACACACACATATACATACATACATACATATATATATATATATATATATATATATATATAAAAAAGCCAAAGCACTTACTGTTCAAATTCCTTAGACATAGCTATATCAGCACCAGGGCTGTGTTTATGGTATATTTTCACTCAAGCTACAGCTCATGCTCAAATCTCACACATTATATCCACATATCCGTGACCTTCAGTGTGATTCCTCAGGGAATGCTGTGGATAAAGTCTACTCATGCTGTACAGAAACAGTGAGGATAGCACACTACATATATATACAAATATACATATGTACACACACACACACACACACACACACACAGAGCTTGTGGTCCTGGGGATGGAAGGAGTATAAGGTGACATTTCTTTTAAGCAACTGTCTTCCTAAGCTAACCAGAATAAGAGCTAAGAGCCTTCAGAACAGAAATGTTAATGGAGTCCTATATATACACATATACATAATTTCTGATTAGGATTTTTTTGTGACTGAACTTCAGATGAAGGGAAGAGGCTGCTGTTCCTGGTGAAATGGAGATCGAGACTCTTGCATATAAAGCTAGGGGGAATCTATAGCCTCTGTCCTGGGCTGCCTCGTGGAAGAAAAATGAGCTGTCAGAGCCCTATGTCTGCAGAATGAGGTATTGGAACTAACGCTGAAGGAATTCTCATGTCAAACGTGAAAACATCTGAGCGTTCTTGTCTTCTCTCTGGGAGGGAGCAAGAGATGGTAATGAAATTCTTCTACAGGGCAGCACATTTTGAAGATGAAAATGTTTAAGGAACTAATAAGGCAGGTTCTGCTCACACACACTTCAAGCAGCACGTGGAGGGAACCTTAGAAGTCTTCAAGACACAGACCTAGGCCCGCAGTCAAACCTCGCGCTGACTTTCAGCCAAGCCACTCCTGCAGAACGCGGCAGCGCTGAAGAGGAAAACATCTGCTGCAGTTGAGATGGGGCAGTGAGAACACAGAGCCAAACCAGTCCCCAAGTGAGACGGGTTCTAGGCCAGTCCTGCAAACCTGCAAGGTGATTTACAGCCRCTCGACGCCCGGCAAGAGAAGACACCTCAATCACTGCCACAGCCTGGCGCGTGGTGTGCGCAGSTACATGGGGGTCCAGCACGAGCTATCGAATGTTACGTAGAGGGATGACTGGAAAGGAGAAAATTCAGCATAAAGTTTAGTGGTAGAAACAACCCAATGGAGCCACGTTGCCTCGGACTCGGCAGCAAGGCTAATTTAGTGCCTAAAGGTGGGAAAGTGGATGGGTTAGAGGGAGCTTTCCACAGAAGGTGCAGACAAGCCCTGGCCACCTCACGCCAAGCCTGGTTATATTCCTGCCGAATTGCTTTCCGTTTCCTTTCATCCACGACCGGACCACATGCCTTGTATATTTTCCATCCTGACACAYTTTGGCGTAGGCAGAGGGTTTAAATGAAGTGCTTAAACCTCCAAAGCTAAGCGAAGCAAGGCTTCAAAGGCCATTTGTTCCACTACTGGAAAAGAGTGAGATCACATTCACACAGCAGCTTCCAGGCCACAAAGCCACCGAAGGGAATAAGCCACAAGTGGATGAGAAGAGCAGGTGAGTGTAACCAGGCCCTGGATAACGCACAGCTCCGAGCACGAYGCTCCACGCATCCACAGCACCTTCTTGGGACACTCCAAAACCCTTCCAAAATGCTYCAGTAAACTTGTACACACAGAGCCAATGAACAGGGAAACAAATTCTTTCTTTCGAAACACAATTAACTCTTCAAATAAAGCACAAATTTACCTTCTCACAYGTTTCACCCATCTCCTTGTCACTTCCGCACCACCTAAATTCCTTCCTTTGCCCAGCCGCCTTGAGCAGCTTGATTTTTTAAATTCTAGTACTAATTAAAATTTAAAATTAAAATTTAGATTAAATTTTAACTTTTTTTTCCCTTTACGTATCATGAAGCTGGTACATAGGCCCACATACATGCTGCTTCCATGGCAGATTTTGATTCGTTTTTATAAAATGCATAAAATCAAGGATCTCTAACGCGTGACATTTGGTAAGAGCCTTCCTAATTAATGGGTCAAGCAACCGAAAGCTGCGAGAGGCCAATGAGCTGCAGAAGCTTCATCTTTGAATGTGGTTATTCAARAAGAATTCTTAAATCACAAAGGGTAACGTTGGGCAGTTAGAAGAGCTCTAAAAATTCATAATTAGTAATCAGACTTCCTACACCTAACATAATGATTCAGCCACTCACACAGAAACAGAGCAATCAAGCTTTTAGCAAAGACATCTTATTAACATTAACTTTGTAAGTGTTTCGTCATGGAGACAGGCACATTTTTAAAAGGAAAGGTGAACAGAAGTCTTGAGGAAAGCAAAACGCATATCCAGTTACAAGTATCTCTGTTAAAATTTGCAAAGAAGTCACAGAATATTACATATTTAAATGAATTCTGGTGGCCTGTTAGAAAAACATACTGAAAGGCATCTGGATATTGTTGAAATTAGGCAGGAAATGTAGCCTAGAATTTAAGTTAAGTTTATACTAGAAATGTGACATGTTTAATTCATGAAAAAGCAGCTCTGCTTGCAAACATGCCCACCTGCCTGCCCAAGGACTGAAAGACAATTGCTGAGCAATGGGTATTCAGACATACAACCACACTTGAAATCAATACGCCCAATATCTAATTTAGTTAGTAACAAATAATAAAATATAGCTTTTTTTTTTTTTGCAATATTTTGCAAAATAGATGTTTTTCCCCTACTGAACACCATTATAGCCTTGGCACTACTTTCAGAGCTGTCCATGATACTATCGATGAGGTTGACTCTCAAGAAGCAACAAAAGGAGCTGCATTTTCTAATGTTCTGTAAATATGCCAAGATAAAAACAGAAAGAAATGTTAAACTTAGTATGACTTCGTGGCTCATATTAATAGATGCAGAAATGAGTCACTGCAAACAGCTCACTAACTCACAAAGTGTGGGCTGAACAGGAAAGTGGTCATACAATACGTCTTCATTAGTGTTGTTGCTCCATATAACCACCTACAAYGGAGCTCTGCTAGGAAATTACCACTTCTGTGCTTTGCATTTGTATCTGAAAAAGCATTTTGGATTTGAATCAAGGTCAACAGAATCAAGAATCCAACAGCATTTTTTTCTCCTGACTTTATTGGATGATGGACCCAACACAGTGAAGAGGTGTCAAAGAACAACCTTTCTCATCAAGGCAGAGCCAGGAACCTGCCACGAGCAAAACGCTTCTAACAGCCAGGGCCAGAGCAGTGCAGCCTAATTAGCAGCAGCTTTAACTGCTGCTGCTAGAAACTGTAATTKCCTTTATCTGCAGCTCAGTGATACATACAAAGAAAATTGGCCGTMTTCTAAGAAGGCATGACAAAGACATCTCAGTGTGAACAGAGTCAAGAATTGATGGACTAATTTGGAGAATCAGAGCTACAGAGGGACCCACGGAAGGGAACACAGTCTCTGGAGTGGGAGGCAGGCAGGCCGTGGGCACAGCCTGCAGCACAGGGAGGATTAGCTTGGGTCAGTACCACTTGATTTGACTTGGGACTTGAAAATAGTGAGTGTAAATATCTGGTTGTGTTTGTGTCTCTGTCCATCAGCTTCAAGAGGCTTTAGGGCTAGGAGAAAGAAATGGAAGGGGGGGTCTGGTTTCTTTAGGCTGCACTGAGCTCCTGCCAGACCTGATTTGCTGCTGAAAGGTTATTAACAAAAAAGGGAAGTGTGAGAAACTAAACAGCTGAGACTCGGCACTTCCATCTTCCCCAAAGCCTTTAAAAATGGGTACCGCGAGTAAAACATGATGGTATCTGCTTTCAAAACCAGAAATGTGATAGCACCAGGAGTTTGTTTTGGTTGGACAATTAGGATGTGTTTTCAGGGCAATGTGAATRGAATTAAGCAGACAGCTTCCATTAACAGCTCCATCAGGCTTCCCTTTCACAGCTGGAAACAAAGGCTGGACACTCACTCCATATTTATCAGCCTGTAATTCATTAAAATGGACACACCATGAAAAGAATGAAAAAAATATTTGAAAAACAAGGGAAATACTTCAGAGGTATGTTGAGAAATAGAAGGGGATTATCAGAATAGCTGAGCTAGGGATCTTAAAATCATGTTCCCCTGACATTTAAATAATTTAACTGRAATCCAACAGTCTTCAAATATTAGACTCTAACTGACACTAAGGCATCTTCAGAGAGAGCTACAGTGTATGATCAGCTCTTCATTTGTGAACCTGCAGAGGTTGTTTCATGGGAACTATTGTAGTAAGTTGGCTCAGGTAGGATGACAGCAGCCATCTCACCTGAGGCTGGCAAGGTCCAGGCTTTCTCAGGCATCCCATGCACAAGTTCTTCCGAAGCCTTCAAACCTGCAGTTCCAGTGGGACGTACTTTCTTTTTATCTTTCTCCACAAATGAATAATTAAACATTTTGATTTTGAAACTCCAACACTGYTTTCCTAAAAGGGGAGCATGGAATCACAGCATCGCGACACGTTTGAGGCGCAGGCAGATAACTTACATGGTAGACAAAGAGACCAGTGTGCTGAAGGCCCCGGGGGTGATGGTGCTGATGTGGTTGTCGTACAGGGAGAGCAGCCTCACGGAGCTCAGGCCCGCAAAGGTGTCGTTGTTTATACAGCTGATCGAGTTGCTTCTCAGCATCCTGTGGGGATTAGAACAGGCAATGAGAACAGCTGGGGAGGGCTCTCCTTTGAGGAGAGGAGGGGATGATCAATAGATTCTAGGCAAGCACCAGACTCTGCGCTGATTGCCCATGTACCACACTCATGTAAAACTTCGTGAAATCGTGAATTTAAAACTTATCTGTTCCACAAAACAAAACCCAGAAGCTGATGGGAATTACATATTTGAAATTAGTACACAAACAACATTATGACTAGGGACAAGCTTGTAATAAACATCCAAGTGCTTGAACTTACTAGGTATCTAAGAGCAACATAAGCTGTAGTTCAACGACCATTTATTTGATAGGGACTGGCATGTTCCTATCATGCACCTTTTAGTAATCTACGCTGTAACAGCAAGAAAGCAGCCTTCCTAGCAGAAGTCAAGGAACAGCCTTGGAAAGATTTCCAGAGCAAAAGCAACTTCGGAAATCTCATTAAAATCATTAACGACGAGAGAGAAAGCGGTTACCATCCTCTCAAACGTTCTTTGCTCAGAGCTTGTACCAGATGGAGCAGTGCCGTGTTTTGGAAGATGCATCTCTGAGTTGTTATGGCAACAATGTCCTCGACGAGAAAGCCTAATTAATCTGAAAGGCCGGAGTATCCGGTGTCTCTTCTTGGCTAAAACGGCTCAAGGGTCATTTCTTACACTCTGTGTAAGAGTAGAACCCATCAGCGTCTGGGGGTGTGAACATCTCTGTGCTGTGATATTCCTTCCTGGGTGAAATATTATTCAGCAATTAAAGCCTATCACCAGGGATGCACAAAGTATCTACAGCTCTTGCTGCTGCCACTGTGGGCTGATGCTCTGACCTGAGGAGGGGTAATTCCTTGGTATCAAATCCATGCAGTGAACAATGAATTCAGACTCCCCTAGAAATCTGGATTTAAACCTCATATTGGTATCAGTCAGCGGGACATTGAGATACCACATCAATAGACACTTAAAAAAGGCCAAAGGGAGATTAGATGCAGCTGGGAGGAAATCCACTCTGTAACCACAGACACTTGTTGCTAAGGATCTAGCCATAAAAAGTTTTTCTTTTCATTAGTGTTCCCCAAACACAGTTATCATGGATGGTACCCTCTCCAGAGTTGTGGTGTCCAAACAGCACCGGAACCAGGTTGGAAAAGAACTGCAGGGCACAGGCACAAAGGCATGAGGCTGGTGCAAAGCCAGGCCTAGACCACAGGCTCTAAAGGGAACCAGGTGGTAACTAAGGGAGGAAAATAAGTGAGTAAGGCCCTCAGCGGCTTAGGCACTTCTGGAAATTCCCAGGCAGAAGCAGTAGGAAACAGGTTCTCAGTTCCATACGTGAGGCATTAGCCACAAGTTCCGCAAGGCGGGAAGATCGGATGCCAACCCATCTTTCACAGTGATTTATTCCATCTCAGGAAACATCCAGGCTTTTTAAAAATCGGGCCGTGATATTGTCAATGTGGCCCCTTTGTCAAAGGCCAGGATATTTATGCTCCATGTTGATTAATGGATAGAAATGTATGTCCCTCAAGCCAGAAACCTGTGGATTTATACCACAGTACGCCATGCTCTGCGTGCCCTTCCTGAAGGAAAACTTATACTTCTGAATCCTCATTTCATGCTGCGTATATTTAGACTGCTTTATCAGCTAGGGGGAAATGTAGGTCAGGTCAGCAGGATAGCTTGAATGTTAAGTATCTTTTTATTAAAAAATGCTGAATTTTGTTTAGGAGCACTGCCACAGGCTGCTTTATGGCATGAAAATTAATTTAGTATCTGCGGACAGTATTTGAAATTCCCTTAGTACAATGCATACATTAAATCAAAGAACAGATGGCTGGAACTACAGAAAAACAATGTTAAAGGAACAGCAAACGACAAGTTCCCTATTTGTCATTACAGCCAAAGTCCTCCAGGTGAAGGTTGGATTTCATTTTACACCTGAGTAAGGAATGGAGGAAATGTGCTATGATACTTTGCAACAGAAGAAGCATTTGCTACTAATGAATAAATAGCAGATTTTAAATTGCCTTTGGCATCCGAGTGCCTATTTACTGAGTGCAGCCACATAATCAAGTTCTTTCTTTCTGCAGCAGGGAGCCTGTGCAAGAGCAGGTATTTTTTAGGTTCAGCTCATCGGGCACCAGCCTTTGTGTCACCTGAAGCCCAGTCCCTGCTTGTTCCTCAGGATGGGGATGGATTAGATGCCACCCTGAGATCCTCCCTCGCCTTCTCTTTCCATGTTCTCACATGACTTTGTCTCAGTATCATTTTGAAGAGAAAAATAAATTTTAAAAGGAAAACAAATAGGTCTTATCAGTTTATATAAGAGTGATAGTTTTCAAAAGCAAATTACAATCTGCTCAGCACTTTAAATATATGGGAGACTTCAATGCCAGTGACGCAAGACCCTGTCTCAGACCCTAAATCCAGGGATTTTTAGCAGGCACTGCTGACCTTGAGCACTCCAGCTCAAGTTAGGGAAGACCAGAGAATAACGAGTCCTTGCACTTACAATGTCTTCAGTCCCGTGAGGCCTCTGAACATGCGCCCGTGCACCGATTCCAGTTGATTCTCTGTCAGGATCAGCTCCTGCACTCCTGAGGCCCCATCGAATGCGCCCTCCCGGATCTCCTTGATCTTATTGTTGCTCAGATTTCTGGAGGGAGAAACAGGTCAGAGTGAGGGAGGGATTTTACTCCAAAGAGACACCATCCCAGCGGAAGGAGAGTGTGCATCTGCCTTGAAGCCATCACGCAGGGAGAGCAGCACTCGGAGGCCCAAACTCCCACTTCCCACCCGCTCCCTTCCCGCCTCTGAAGCGCCCTGGACCACACGCACCTGCAGGACACACGTTACAGGCACCGCAGCCTCTCCCCCGGCCTTCCAGGGCTCAACAACATCCCATCCCAGCAGGACCCCATCCCAGCAGGATCCCACCCCATGCCATCCCATCCCCAGCAGGAAGCTACGGACCCTGCTGGCAACTAGGTGCTCATGTGGCCAGAGTAACTTAATTACTGGTCACTACCACTGAAATACAGACCAGACACTGATAAATGAGCCATATTTATTTACTGTACTAGCACCTTTACTGCTTTAAAACTCAACACTGAAGCACCATGCAAAACTGTGCAGCAGAGATCTGACACAAATCATGACAATGCAGTCACAAACTCCCAGACACTCAAACCTAACCCCAGCATTCAAAAYGAGATGAGTATCACTTAATTCTCAACCACATCTACAGCAACACGTGGCTTCATTTTCCAAATATTTACTCTGCACACCCAGTCTCAAGATGTTTGCTTATAAATCAGCACGGCAGAACCTCAATTTACAAAGTCAAACGGAGCTCTGAGGAAATGCAAGATGAATTTTCTTCTATTTCCTATCTGTGAGAAATCCAKCAAACAGAAAACTTCTGAATGACAAAATGTATAAAAATAAACTTTAATTATTTAAAGTGTTTACAGAACAAAACCTTGGAACTCAGTCCTTCAAGCATCTACAATGATGACCTGTATAGATTGTAATGAATAATCCTAATTATTTAGGTTTACGACAGCAATTTTTGCTTTATTGTCTACATTGAAAAAGATAAAGTAAAAGATGTTCTCCTGGTCCAAAGAGGACACCAAACTCGAAGCTATTGCTCCTGCTGACTGACACCTCATTCCAGAAATGATCCCACTACACGCAGAGCACGAGTAATCGTTTCAAAATCCAATTCCAGGTGATATAAACCAAACGACAAAGCATCAGCTCAGTGCCACTCAGAAGAGCGGACCATTTTGTGGGGATGCAGTTGATAGAAGCCACGGCAGCAGGACAGCTTGGCCTCAGAGATGATTAGTGGGGGTCTCGCTCTTTGCAGAAGCCATCACTTAATTAAAAAGGAAAAAAAAAAAGARACTTTTGGAGGTATGTTTCCTGTGGGAAGCTTGAACAGGCTGATTTATATCTACCAGACAGTGGCCGCAYGCAYGGACCCATCACCTCTTGCGTGGTCTGTGGTCAGAAGGACCAGGAGGACGTCAGCAATGGGCCAAAACCAAAATCAAAGCGCTCACAAACACGTACACGCAGGCTGTGCTTTCCAGGGGTTCTGTGCACTCTGCTAACACTCCCTTGTAGAGYTTATGCTCAGTGTCAAAGCGAGCCCAACAAGGCTGTTTTGACACATGCATTTAATTTTGTGGCTCARCTGCTGTCTACTGGGAAGATTTGGAGCTTAGCATCTCTCTTGAATCTTGGTACAAGTAATTACTCCCAGGGATTTCTTCCCTGGTAAAGATCACCCCACGATGCATCTTTCCACAAAAATAAATGAGCCAATAAGCAAATGTTCATGATAGGAAGGGAAAAGGAATTATTATAACAGGCCAAGAGTTTGATCTTTGATTCACAGCTTGTAAATTCATCTACACTTGCAGTTAAGAACTCATTTTAGTTTTTAGTGTCTAAAGGATATTTAGTTACATATATTAAGAAATGGGTGCAGCCGTAATAGATGAGCAGATACTCAAGATGGAAAAGAAGAGGAGCTGGGAGGAAGGCTGGCTATAAATTGCAAAGTTGCACAGTCCAACCAGTCTGAACGGCAGCCCAGGAGCTCCTGTAGACAGGCAGCTCCAGCAAGCCCCACGGTTTCAGCAAAACAACATCATGCAGAAACGCGCCAGCAGTTGCACAACAGCCTGTTTATACACATTTTCCAACGAAATGATCTGAAAATCCAGTATTAAAGGCTATGGTGAAAACAAATTGTAAGCCAGAAAAAGAACAAGCTTCACGCTTGCAAGCAGGTAAMGGAGACAGTGCTCTGCAATCCAGGGAGATTCTGATCCTCATGATCCCTGCAGACGTTCTGCCAACCTGGGTTTCTATTTGTCTTCCTAAATTGAAGTGTTTCTTATCAGAATACCACCAAAAATTGTTGTATAGACTTCAAAAATCTACCCTCCCTAAGGTCTGATCTACTTTCTACATATTTACCAGAAGAGGAGATTTGAAAAATTATATCCTTTGCAGCCTACATTTACTAGCAAAAATAGTCAACTGCTGATAAAAACCTTGAAAAATAAAACCAGTGGAATTTCTGCCTGCTTTGCAACTCAGACAGCCCTAGCCCATCTTTTGCAACATAAAAGTAAGCTCTTAAATGTGACCATGGCACTTGGCAAAGAAAATAATGTTTTCCTATCAGGAAAACGTCCAATACAGCAAACTCACATTATAAAAAGGCCCCATCCCCCAGGCAAGCTAAGCCTCTGTTGGGAATCACACTGGAAATGAAGGAAGGCAGCAGGAAAGAAATCCTGAGTCTTGAGTATGTCTTAAGATAACCTTCTTGGCAGGACCCAAAGGGGAACCTGGACACTGAAGATGGCTTTTGTTTCCTTAAACATTCCCTGATTACTGTGCTGATAAAGATTAATCCTATTTCCAGACTAATATTTTGGRCAAGAGGTCCAAAGAAATCATGTGGAAAGCCCTGGATTTGCTTCTTGTGGGCTCTCACTGGGAAATGAGCAGATCTAGGAAGCTGTCAAGGTGACACTGTCTGCACAGCTCACCGCCCAGTCTGACCTGTTTACAGCTGAAATTTATAATAATATTATTTCTGCTGATTTCATAACTTTGGTAYGGCTATGGAAGACTGAGCCATATTCCATTCAGGCTTAATCAGAGCTTGCGTCTGGTGCTGCTGGATCTACTTTAACCTTTCCTCTTGCTCTTCCTTGCTGCGTGATGGACACACCTTCTGCACGAGCACAACCACTAAAGCCCAGCCCAGCACTGGCAGCTCRGGCTCAGCTTGCAGCCTGCAGGCGGGCTGTTTCATCAGCATCTTCTCACTGGGGCTTTCCCTAGACTCTGTCAGCCTGCGGGGGGGTTGTCTGGAGATTTTGATTATATTTTTAGGAAGAAAAACACAATGTGATTGCAAACTTCTGGAGGGAAAATATTTGCTGAGAAAGTTTCACAGCTTCTCCGAACAGTCTGGCTGCCTGGAAGGTAGAGCCCTTCCCAAAACTTCATGGAAAAATCTCTTTTTCCTCTGCCATAAAATCAAGTCTGTTACTGTATAACAAGTGACAGCTGACGGCAACTTCAATTGCTCCGGCAAAATTTATGCGCAGAGGAAAGAACAGCAGGTAATAGCTATTTCCAAGGACAGAAATTACTTATACTTGCTCAAGAAACTTGAGATGCTGTTTTTTAAATGACTTCTGCTCTGCAAACTTTATCGGGGATTCAATTTCATTCTGCACGTGAAGTGTGTGAAATCTCCGGCTGCGTCAATAAAGCCACGTCAAATAAAGCTACGTCAACAGTGCCCATCAAGCAACAGTAGAAATGTGTCCCCTATGCACCTGAAAAACTGCAGCTCGAGGAGGGTTTTTCCTCCTTAATGTCTAATAGTGGCACTAACTCCCGTCCTGCTTGTAAYTAGCAGGTTGGTAATTAGCAGGAAGATGCTGTTGAGTAACCAGGTACAGGAAAGCTGAGGGGGTTGTTTGTTCTGGCAACCCAGACCCTCCACAAATGGGCCAAGGAAAATCAGGGAGCCAAGGGGTGCCTGCAGCTTCTCAGGGAGCAGCCACGGAGTGAGGGTATGGCTGAAACGCTCCTGCCCGACCTGGAGCAGCAACCTTTTGAGGAGACTCCTTTATTCCAATCAGGATAGTTCCTTACAACATCAGGAAGAAGCCAAGAAATGAGCTCAGCTATAGAAGGCAGCTAAAGGGCTTTCCTGACTGGAGGCTGCCACTGAAAATCCAGAGCAGACCCCATGTTTTACAAAGCACAGGGCCCGGCCACGTGTCTCTGTCAGAAATCAGCCATATGAAGTGCACCTGCACGCCGGGGTCTCATCTCCTGCCAAGCAATGGAGCAGAGGGATGTTTGTGTTCCTCAGGAAACCAGCTCTTAGAGACCCGGCGTGGCCGCTTCCTGCTGCGCTCGCACTGGGCACGGAGCCCTGCCAGCGTGCCCCTCGGCCGAGCGCCCATGGAAGCAGCCAGGACAGCTCCACGCCYGCCCACAGCAGGTCTCGGCTCCAACGCACGGCAAGACCCCAGCTATTACACCTTACTGGTTTTCAAAACCTAAGTTCKTAAGGCCTGAGGGGAAAAATGCTTTCCCATTTGTATATACTCTTATACACCATGTGTTTTCCATTAGGCACCTATATATCCAGGACAGCAGGGTACTACAGTGGCAAGAGCCCTTTCCGAGTGCACTGTAACGACGACTTAGGGATCATTCCTCAAGTTCTAGGCTACAGGACACGATGACTTCCCGGGTGTGGTGGCCCGTGTGTGCCCAAACACAGATGTTTGGGCTACAGGACTCGCACCCGCAAGCCCCGACACCTCACACCGCCTCAAACCTCCACATGGACAACGCCAGGGCCTCCACACAGGCCAGAAAGCCCCAGTTACCCTCAGCCTGGCAAAGGCAACCAAAAGCTACTGCAGGGGAACAGTAGAGAACACATTATATCTCATGTGGTATAGAGTCATGGGGTTAACACTCTAAATATCCCTTTAGGAAACTGATCACAAGGTGTCTSATTTTGATCCTCTTTCCAAAACACAACTCTTATTAAATGTACAGAGAAAGATTGATCTTCCCATTAGCTGCTTGATTCTCTGCTCTACACTAGTAGCAGCTTCAAGAGTCCAAAGAATATTCTTCTGTCACTGATTTAACTGGGCCTAACAGGGACTCAATCAGTTCCTTTAAACTCACATTGAAACTGAGTTCTGCTGCTGTGCTACTAAACTAGAAAAGCTTCATCCCTTCCTCCTTCCACGCAGTACAGGGCAGCATGTGCTCTATTAAACATAAAGCTAACGAGCAAGTGACTCCAACTTACATTTTTCTGAGGTTGGGCAATTTCTTGAAGAGTCCAATAGCTTCCAAAACAGAAATATCATTGTCATTCAAACGCCTGGTAGGAAGAAAGAAAAAGACATTTAGTGCTTGACTAGATCTCTCTAGATATCCGGCTGTGCCACACAAGAGAGCCCCACAGAGAATTATGACCTTTGTYGAACACGACACTGCTTCTCTCCCAGACTCCCACAGTCCAAGAGTTGAACTCTGAAGGAAGGGGAGCATATGAGACTATCTGTAATAAAATCTTAAAATTCCTTTAAGAGCATAATGCCAAAGGACAGTGCCAGAACGCTGCCTTCTTTCAGCGTGCGAGACAGGGGTTGTGAAACCCTACCCACGCAAAGCCAGGGGACACGCACTGCCTGCAGGGCTCAACACACAAACAGAGCAGATCTGGTTTCAGGTCCTTTCCCATCTAAGGCTACTGTTTAAAAATACCTCAAAAATACTGCCAAGATCACTGCCCTGGCAGGTCTGCGATGCAAAATGCTGTCTCTCATTACATACAGCTCATTTTTTTTATCCTGTGTAGATACTTTGCTGTCTTTCTGGAAATCTCTTTTTTAATTTTATTTAGACTTCAGATCAACATTTTTATGAGAGTTTTAAGTGAGTACCTTAACACTATAAAGAGAACAGTAGCACAAAAAGAAAACTGTGGATCTCTTCAGATCATATTCTCTCAAAATCCTAAGTACTAAACTTTTCTCATACTCTATTTAAAACCATATCATGTTCATAATTCCTAGGAATCTCAAAAAAGCAGACAAATTTCATAGTTGTAGCTTGACAACCTGTTGATAACCTTGATAACTGTCACAGTGAGAGTCAGTTCACCCAAGTAGCAGGCACYGCCAATACGGAATGAGTTCCCGTGAGGAATATTGATGAAAAGAGTTGATCCATTTCGTAAACAGAAATGGCCAGATGCAAAGGTAATGGACTCAAATGTCTCGTAGAGATGAGGGTGGAAGGTGCCTTGAATTGGTTGTAACCTTTACAAACCAGGAAAAACACCTAAGAGGTCTTAGAAAGCCACCCTGTCCTGCTGAGAAGCAGCACTTACAGGTCAGTGGTGTATTCAGGAAGGTGACTGGGCAGTCGGGTTAGTTTTTGGTTAGAGCAGTCCACGATTGTTCCCTCGCAGCGACACTTCTCAGGACAGACAAGGTCCATGAAGCATTTCCCGGTGAATTTGCTCCTGTAATCCTCTGACCCTGCAAAAAAACAAAAATACATTCCAGCGAACAGCTCCTGATAAACGCAGCAACCGGAGATTTTTGGAAAATCTCTTCTTGGCATTCTCTCCTGCTACCTCCCAGCTCCTGCACACAAATTTAGTGTGCTCATCTCTTTTTTTTCAAAAGACTCCCAGGACTCATCTGTGCTGTTTTTACCCCTCTTCTGGGAGATGAATTCCTTGTCTAAGAAGCCTACCTGTTAAATCATCCTGTTTTGAAAGCACATACAATGAGCTGCTGGGGTAGCATCCAGGAGCTCCCCCAAAGGCATTTATTTTTCCCCATTTGGCACTTACTGCAGCAACAAGGAAGAGGGGTCTCATGAGAGGAGCAGCCACCTTGCGGCATTCAAACAACAAAGGAGTTTTTAGAAAGGCATTTCAGAACCAAGCTTTTAAGACGACAGCACGTACAGTTATTCTTGATAGCAGCCTTGTATGAGAGGAGCTTGCCCGTTTTTTGACACTTCGATACCTTTATTAACTACGCTAAACAAACAGCAGCGTAAAGYAGTAGCGGCTTAAATCATTTTCATTTTAATTAAGGACTGGGTAGAGCGGAGTTAGTGAGAAGCAATCCCTAACGTGCCATTACACTGCGATTGCCAGACCTTTTTGACTAGGTTCCTGACCCATTCTAATGAAATGCATTTCCAATTATGCTCAGAGAACTAATCTGTCCTTTTCAGGCTTGTTTTTTATTTCTTTTTTTTTTTTCCTCTTTCTTTTAATAATAGGAGGTAGGAAATTTGATCTCTGTGCTTCCAGGAACCAGGAGCAATAATAAAATTGTAGGTAATCCAAGTGTTGCCAARGCCCAGCCATGCAATACCTGCCTGCTCACTTCGTATTTCATAGTGGGATCACCGGAGTCGTCTTGGAAAGGCAGGTGATGCCCGGGGAGCACAACCACCACCAAGTGTTTTTAAACTTTTCCAGAGCCTTGAAAGTCAATTGCCATTGTAAAAGGTAGTCATCAGAGTCAAAAACCCTTGGCTGAAAGCGCTAACTCAAACAGGCCAGGCTTTCCCAGGCACGATCTGAGCAGGTTCAGGTTTAAAAGAACCTGAAAAATCAATAAAAGCCTAAACGTGAGCTGCGTTTTGTTTTGACAGAATTGATGACATTCACAGGCTGCTGCTTCTTCCCTGATTGATAACGATACCACTGCTCGTTTTATGGCCACACGCCGTTTTCCATAAGAAAAAGAGGAGTCACCTAAAGCCATCACTGTTTTAATTCACGTTACGTATCAGCCCCACAGGGCGATGCAGCGAAAGCAGGCGTTCCTGCAGGCCAGCCAGCATTTCGATTCCAAAGATACACTCGGGTTTAATTTTGTAATCCTAAACTCCGCTATGGGAAACAGATGATGCTCAGCTCTGTGCCCTGCTGCTCTGTGGCGCTAAGCACTTCGCAGGTTATCAGGCTCCTTGTAAATTAAACTGCTAAAGGGAGATCTAGGGGTTGCTTTTCTGCTTGACAGCAGCCGACACAGACTGCAGGACCACTTGAAACTCCAATCAAAAGCCTTTGTACTTCAAGGCATATTCCTAAGTCTGGAATCCTTTAAAACATAAGGACCAGTGGGCATTTATAAAATACATACTAAGTGTTTCCCCATATGTCCATCCTTTTAACAGAGCCACCTGATTCTCAGTCCTAAAACCCAAGTCTTGGCAGTCAGGTTGAAATGTCGAGAGATGAACACAGCCCAGCTTGATTACAAGAACATCCAGCTATTCTTTCTTACATTTCCCAAATGTAGTTTTGGTTGAGGATAATTCCTGGAAATAGTGCAAAACATATGCGGAATAGCTATTAGGGCCAGAATTCATTAAAAGTATTCTAATTACAGTACACCTTGAAAAAATGATTACAATTTCTCGGTGCTCAGCAAGGGATGTGGAAATCCAGAAGCTAACCCCTCTATTTCTCATTGTCAAAATGCTCCTTGAAACTATAAATCCAAATGTCAGGAAGTTACATAGGGTAAAATTTCATTAAATATGATTTTTAGTCTGCTTCTAGATACAACGTTCATCTTCTCATGGAAAAGGGACAGGAGGGGAATGATCTGTGGAGAAGAAAGACAGGTGTATAAAATTAGAGGGTGAAAATGGGCCTTGGTTTTGCTTCCAGCCTTTTGGCAGAGCAAATACAGAGGAATTTCATCCAGGCAACTGTGCAGCCCGATTCGGGGTGAGGACCTTGTTCCTGTCCCCACCACATTGGCCACAGGGAGGCCAACCAATTTATCCCAGTTACCAATGACAGGAGTAACATTTTCACTTCAGAGCTTATGCAACAACACTCTCAGGTACCAGGGTACTCTAATACTTCAGTATTGCAGAGCAAACACACCCACCACACTGAAAAACAGTATATTGAGATAAAGAAACCCGACATTCCCACACACTGAAAAAAATGAGTTATCTTTCTAATACTTATATAGAGAAATTGAGTAACAGTGCAAATACTTTTTCCCTTATTTTTCTTTTAAAGCGTTGCTGAGCAAACCTGGTTTCAGTTTGTAACACTTGGTAATTCCCGAAGGACTCCAAAGGAGAGCTACACCACGTGTGCTACTGGGAAAAAGAACAGGTTATCTTGTCAGAGTCTTCAGTGCTGGCTTTTGGTGCACTCCTGTTAGAAAACTTGGATCCAGTTGTCTCAGATTTGGCACCCAAAATAAGATAATGGAAGAAAACACTTTGTCCAAAGGGCAGTTGCCAAAAAAAGAAGGAAAAAGAAATCCAGACATTTGCTCTGCAGCCACTAGATCAAAATTCTCATCGGTTTTCAGGCAAAAAACAGGTACATTGTTGGTCACAACTTCACCCCAGTAGCATTAAATCTAACCAACAGCAAGAGGGAAAGTTGGCAGTCGCAGATGTGCTCCTGATGGCTTCACAACACATTGGCCACAAGGCCACACGGAGGGGCAGCAGCCCCTGTAAGAAGCAGCCTGCGAGGGGCTCCGCGGGTGCCCTGCGCTCCTACGGCAGCACGGTAAGGCTGAGGAGCTCAGGCCCTAGGCCAGGCTCAGCAGCAAGCACCTCCTCACACTGAACTGCACCCAAAGGGTGCCCTGACCCGCAGGGTCATCTTGAAACACGGGGATTTGGGTTACTGCTTACTAACGTGGCTCCACAAAACTGACTTTCCAGCTCTGGAGGTTTGGCTGGAATTAAACTGCTCAATGGGTTGTCTAACTTGTCCAATTAACTCATAAAAATTCAACAGAGTAATTCCTGGGAAGGGGTTATTCTGCATGCAAGCCTCGGGGGAAGCCTCTTCCGAACACCACTAGTCCCGGGGCTTCCCCCGGCGTCCGTGGGTCCGGCTAAGCCACACGTGCCGCTTTTCCACTCTTCCTGCAAGAAACGGGGAATTTCTCACCTTTCGACGGCTGTGAGAAGAGCAGAAGTATCGGAGCATGCCATGCGGCAGGCAGTATGCAGCCTTCCATGGTGCTTGACAGAACCATGTTCCATTCGTATCGTTCTACCACATGGTTAGATCAAGCACAAAGGAAAACCCCACGGAGAGCCAGAGTCAGAGTTAGGCAGCGCCAGAGAGAGAGGAGCGTTGAGAGGAAGCAGCCCGGAGAAGCACAAGCCGAAGGGTCCCCCGAGAGCTGCTCTCCATTCCACCCATGCAAAGAGGTGCCGGGCGGCCGCGGGAGCTCCCTGGAGCACGACTGGGTTAGTGGACAGGGACAGAGCCCGCGTGGCGGCCAGGACAGAGCTACGTGAGGGACAAGCTACCCCAGGGCTCCTCCTTGGAGCACGCGCTGCCTCGGCGCACACCCAGCGCCTGCGTGAYGCTGCTCTTCACTCGCTGCCCATGCCCTCCCGGCGTCCCCTTTCTGTACAAATGCTGCTTGGTTTCCCCCCATCATTTAAAAGCCAATCTTAAAATACTACAAGAATAGTGGTGAGAAGCCAATGGCCACATTTGGCCATCAACGCTCCCCATGAAGTCCCACCTTCTGTCCCACCTTCTGTCCCACCAGTCGATCATGCTGGTGGCACTCACGCTGATGGTCCATAATTACCAACTCTTTTTCTCTTTTCTTAACTGCACTTTAAAACACCCTAGAAAACACACGTTACTAAAGCCATACATAAGGTAAACAGGACTATTTCATTATTGTTTGCAAATACTTGCAGGGTCTCGCTCATCATTTGCTGATGGAAGCACTCCCTGTTCCCTGCAGCCCAGGTGACCTCACGTAGCTTTACTCCTCCTTCCTCATTCCTGCATCCCTGGTGTACCAAGTAGGGCATTCRGGTCTGCCCGGAGAGCTCCCACCCAAATAGAGCTCCCATTGGCTTTGGTAACTGCAGAGCCAGGCTGGGAGGGTGCAATTCTGGAGGTCACATTCCCAGTGCACTCGAGTGCACTTCTGGAAGCCACATTCCCAATGCACTCAAGGGCAAAGCCATCRAGGGAGGAAGTCGCCTCTCCTATGAGCTAACCAGAATGTTTCGTGGGACTTCAGTGAAGGTCAAAGCTGGCACCTTAAATTAAGGCCCTTAAATAAACCCCTTAGTCGGGGTTTGTATAAAGAACCAAGCCAGTGTCAGGCAGGTTATTCACAGCCTGCACACAGAGCAAGAACTTGAGCAGAGGTGCCAGGCAGCAGAGCAAGGGGCTCCACTGCAGCGCCTTGTTACGACMCAGCATCATTCTGCAGAAAGACAACGTGCAAATTACTCAGGGACACCAGGAACCAAATACAGAGTGAACTTGGTCACGTCACACTCTGGGTTTGCATGCTTACTGCACCAAAAATAGGATAATTTGCCTTATTTCCACTCTTTATGTTCTCTAAGGAATAAACTGCAGCAGTGCTTTGAGGGAAGCTTAAAAACATAAAGTTTTTTCTCCCAAAGCTGCCAAACTAGTCAGAGTTCTCCCTGATACAAAAGCTGGATTATTAATTTTCTTGCTTGACTCATGCAAAATGACACAAAATCATATTATTAATTTTCTTTCATGACTCATTCAAAGCATGCCTGAACCTGGTATCCATACCTCACTTAATCAGAAATTAAACACRTAACTAGCATTCCTGCCAATAATACAACAATTCATCACTTCTGGCCTTGGTTCCTGGAATAATTTCCTCCAAGGACCTCTATTAAGCAAAGAAATATCTCCTACCTTCCAAATGGGTTTATATAACACATAGTGATTTTAGTATTAAGTAGGATCTCTGTAATACACCCAGTCATTTCCATGTCAATGAACTCTTTTCAGTCTTACCAGGAATCAGTTTGGCCAAAGCCCTGCCAACATCTTCCGGAGAAGCCTCTAGAGGTTGTTTTGAAGAAGTCTCTCTTCCTCTGCTGCGCTAATTAAACACTGCTCTCGGCAACTGCCTGCGCTAATCACCAACCCCAACGAACAAGAGGTACCAGTGCATAAAGAGAAGGCTGCCAAAACCCTGATTTATACTCCCAAATACACGAGAGGTGAGGTACTCCCATGGCACTTTCCTTTCTGCTTGTTGCAGACTACTGCAACAAATGTGAAGGAACAGAGCAGTTTATTTTTCTTCCTTTTTTTTCTTTTTTTTGGCAGATTAGAAAAAGCAGGGAAGCACAATGCTCTTTTATGCACAGAAAATTACACTTCAAAAAAAAATTCAAGCACTGGTTGTATATAGAGATCATTCTACATAAATTTTGCAAAACATATTGAAAAAGGAGTATTAATAGTCATAAGTATTGACAGTTCTACTAAAAAGAAAGAATAAAAGAAAACCCTCTTCTAGATATATTCTCTATTCCCACAAAATTGTAGGATTTGGTGCCAATGTTGATGCTGCTCTGGAATCAGAGAGATGTTTTGTCTGAGGTTTGCTAGGAATTTGCACATGGGCCCCTGTTTAATCCACCTGGTCAGCCTGTAGCACCTGCAGGAGACGGGCTCAGCCTCAGACCAACATTTCATGTCCCACTGCAGGCGCCAACGTTCCTGCGTTGCCTTGAGCTGCCCAGCTCTCTTCACGCCGACGTCTCCCCCATGATCTTCTTCATCCTGCTCAAGACCAGAGCTGGCATTTCTGGTGAGTGCTGCTCCACTTGGCATTTCTGGTGAGTGCTGCTCTGCTTCAGCTCCGCTTCAGCTCCAATTCAACATGTGCAAAGGCAACGTGATTTCCTCCCTTCCCCTCCAGACCCTAACCCACCACGAGGAACCGCTTCAGACAGAGAACTAACTTCTTCCTACCGTATTTTGGAGATGTCTGAGCGGTGCTGGCAACACTCTGCTCATAACAGGGGCAACACAAGATGTASGACAGGAGCCCTAGGCATGCCAGGTCTGCAGCTACCTCCCGGGAGTGTCACTGAGCCTGGCTTTGGTTAGGCTTAACAAGAGACAGGGTCGCAAAGAGAGGGCATTGCGCAGGCAGGTGCTTCCTTGTCCTCCTCCTGTTACTCGCAGCCCTCTCTGGAACTGAAGTAGCTAATTCAATCAATTATTAGATCAAATGTATGCTCCAATGCAAGAGGAAGCAGTAAGCCAGGCTTAATTCTTAGGGCTTCAAATACGAACCTAATTCTTCTTTCTAAGAGCTAGAAAGGGCTTCAGTGATGTGATACTCACAGCTACTCATAGGCTTTGATCACTGTCAGAAACGGTGTGTGGAGTTATGGCAGGCAGACCTTTTACTGCAGGTAAAACGGCAGCATTTTGCTGTTGCTACTGAAAAAGGCAATATTCTCATTTTGTAAACAGAAGAGAGGATTAGTCCCATTCCCCTGCTTTCTCTTTCAAGAAATCTAGTCTCAGATTCAACATTTGGGGGAAGGGCTGAACACGAAGATAGTTTATTATTCTTTTGGTTCATCACATTAAATGGAAGACAAAATCCCACAAGAAATTAGTGTCCACTGCGATCTGAGGCTTAAACTTACTAGACGTTACAACCAGCAGCCTCGCCTGTCTCATAGCTGCAGGCAAAACCTTGCCTGTTCCCCTGCTGTTCCTTCATTTCATGGTATAATGCTTCCAATTCTCCTTCCACAAAGAATAATGTACATTATCTTCCAGTTGCACAGAATCCCTGTCCTATGACAACTCATAACCTTTGCAGATGTTGCTTCACCACCCCCAGGAAAAGTCTGAGTCATTGGGTTCAGAGAGGAAACAGGCACTGAGAAAAGTGCCTTGAGGAATCTGAAAAAGAAGGAACGCTCTTCCAGCTCCAAAGGGATGATGGGGAGCTGCGGTTAAAAACTGAGGGAAACAATATGAGAAAAAAGCAGTTTTCTAGATGTATTTCACTGCACTGCGTAGCTTTGCCCTGTCCCTGGGCAATGCAAAGCACTGATGAGGAGTCTCACTCTGAGTGACCAAGACTTGCAGCCCTGGGCTTCTCTGCCCAGCGATCTGCTCTGTTACATCCTGGGATGAAAYGGATCCCTCCAAACGAAAACATGGAAAATTCCTGCTAAGAGCCAAGTCTGAAACAGCCAGGATTCCAAGGGACAATTTGATCCCAGGGACAGCCAAGGCTGTCTGCTCTCTGCACTGATTTACAAATTGAGCTTCTCCTGTGCCATTAGAAGTTGCCCATTTCATGAGAGCTGTCGATGCTCCAAACTCCTGGTGTCCCACCGGCTTCTGGGGATTGTATGGGCAAGGATAACTTCTCCATTGAGCTTTCGAGCAGAATTAGCTTTCATCCAGCTGAAATCTTCATTCTGAGGCTGCACAATCCTTGTCCCCCGCCTTCTTAAGCCAGGTTTATGCCTTTTCCATGTGGTTGTGAYACACTGCTAGAACTGGAGAGCAAGGAAGAAACAGCCTAAAGCCTTAAGGAAAGGCCCCCCCAAGTAAGAACTCCCACAAAATACTATTCTCCACATCACCAGGTACAGCSTTCAGCACTGCCGCCCTTTCTGCTATGACCTTTCATAAATGGTGTTTGTCTTGTTCAAGAGCCCATAGCCTGTTCGARGAACACATACACACACATCACACATTGACTTCTCCAACCTATTAATAAAAGCAGGAGAAATAACACCAGCGAACAGATTTATACTGATCTGCTTCTGCACTGCACTGACTTATCTAAATTATATTCATGCGTTTTCATTTCAACTTGCTTTAAATATGAATATTACCCACTAATTATCTTGTTACTATAACGGACACAATGCAAAAACCTAGATAAAAGTGTGTCATAATTTCACTTTTGCATAGAAATTCGGTGGCTCGAGACACAAACGATTGAGGACTTGAACGAGTACGCCCAAGACCTGCCTGCAAATGAAGTTCTCCTTATTTTATTCTCCTCCTAAAGAGAGGGTTGAGCTCAGCACCTTGCTTGCAGAGGGCTTGTTTTGGGCTGCTGCCATTCAGCGCCGCGCTGCATCCCCATCTAGTGTCATCAGCCTTCTCCCACCACCAACATAATTAATCACGGTCTTTTTTCCACAGGGGAAGAGCCCAAATCACAGCAATTTCTATAGAAAACACTGCAAGATACTCCATCAATAACAGTCATTTTTCTTCTCAATACACACTAATAGATTTTCCCACTGAAACCAGCTTGTCTTGACAGCGTACCTGAAATGCAGTTATGTGAAACGCAACCGATAGAAAGAACACAAGAAGAAACAGCCTGCTCAGTTGTGCTGAATAAGGCCATAAAAGTCCTTTTATGGAAAGCTAGACCATAAATAAAGGGTTAGGGTTCAGAAAGAGGTGGTTATGCTACTTTGCACGTTATTTTCAGGTAATGTTTCCATCAGGCTTGCCACACACAGTCTTCTCACTGAACTGTAATACAAGCAATGATGCAAAACTTGCTGAAGGTGAAAAATGCACTAACTCCAACAGGAGTTTTACATGAATTAATACACAGTAGTTATGGAGAACAAAAATAGGACACATATAGGAGCCCCCTTCATCTCCCCGTCACCAGCCTGACCCATGCCCTTGGTCCAAAACGCCCTGTGCAAATGTCCAGCCCAGAGCATCTGCAGCCTTATGGGTCCCAGACCTTGCTGCAGCTCAGCTCCCACCCAGGCCAAGAAAGGCTCTGCCAGAACACAAATTGCATGAAGATCTGCTCAGCGTCCACCCCTCCAAAATACGACATTTGCCACACGGATTCATAGACATCTTCACTGTTTTCCTTAGACATTTCATAAGCTAGCAATCCTTTCAAAATTAAATGTCACAAGCGTCTCCCTTTTCTTTGTTTTTATTTCTTTCAGACGCAGAAGACAGACTGCCTCCTTTTTTTTATTTTTTTTTTTTTTTTAAATCCATACAGTAATTAGTTTTCGGGGGAACTAACTCAATTTTCCAAATGTAATTTGAAAAGATGCTCCGTAATATCCATTATAGCAAACACTGTCCCGCAGATTCGATTAGCGGGCCCTCTGGAGCTGCTGCTTTCTGCCTTGCGAGTGCAGTACAGCCGGGATAAATGAATTACCTGAGCAGCGGAACTTCTTGCTCTTGATCTGGCTGATGCGTTTGTTGGCAAGGCGACGCGGGCTGCTGCATCGAGCGCCGCTGGTTTCTATCGGATTATCCTGCAGGTAATCAGCCAGCCACTTCAAATGGCAGTCGCACACAAATGGATTCTGAGCTAAATGGCTGCGGGAAGGATGGGGTGGTTAATCAGAAGYGACCTGTGACACTGGGCTCCATCACAAAGGCGAAGCTGAAGGGTCAGGGAATGGGATGAGCGGGCGAGAGGCTGGGCCTGGCGGAAGCGGCGCGGGGCTGTCCGTGAACGGAGCGCCCTGCGAGCTGCCGCGCRGCGCAGCTCGTTAAGGAGCTCGGGGAGGAGGCAGAAATTAATGCAGCAAAGCCTGCTTGAAAGGACACGGAGCTCCTGGCTGCACAGCCGGCTGTTGTCTGCCGAGGTATGGGGCTCTGTGAGGAAACGGCACCTGATGGAGGGATCCTTGTGTAGCCTGCTTTAAAAGACATTTTACTGGCACGTTCGCCTTCCAAGGACCACACTGGGGATAAGTGCCAGAAAGGTATCAGAAACGATGCAGAGGTCTCTCCTCCAGAGGGAAATTTATGTTTGTCTATATTCATCGTGCCTAGCAGAATTCGCCATACAGTTATTTCCTGCTGGATCAGATTTTTTAGACTTTTCAGAGTAAACAGTTAATGCAAAGTAGAGCTGGACCCTATCCAGTCCCCAGCATTTGCAGGACATACACCCACAAACTGGAAAAGCAAAGTTTTCAATTGGATAGAGGTAGACTTTATCAGTAAAGTCCTGCAGAGTGTTTTAGAGTAAAGCAGCCTTTCCCGGCTGCTGCTATGACTCGTGTTTGACAGCGCTGAGCACTGCAGCAGGCCTCCTTCAGGGGCTGATTGTGATCTCTGCTAAGTGCACTCGCACTCAGCCCTGCAGCTTCAGGGCCCTACATTAACTGGGAACGCTGGAAAAGGACACATGTTTCAATTTGATTCTGGGCAGAGGTGTCTATCCTATAAAGCGATATCCTCAGGAGAGCTCTGTTCTCTTACTATTCACCTATTTTTTTCTCACCTGGAGAAAACTTCTCTCCCTTTTTTTACATTTAAGAACTGTCACTTAAGATATATATTTATATATATTATTATTATTATATATATTTATATATATTCGCTACATACATGCAAGGAGGTTTATAAAGATGCTCAAATACATCAAAATACATGCACAAAATATGCTAGGAAGGGACTGTTTCTTGGTTTTCTTCATATCAGGCTGCCAACTGCTGCCTGAAAGATTACTATCACCTTATTRTCTTCCTACAGTTTTAGGATAAAACCTTAGTCCATGAAATATCAAGTCATTTCTATACTTTTGCTTCCAATTTCGTTTCTGATCCCTCTCCTCCTAGTACTAATGCCTTGAATTCAAGGACTCTCAGAAAACGTTTTGTGGATTTTCTTCCTGGATCAAACAATGTAATGCATCATTTCCCCTACGTGGAATGGCAGCTGACACGTAGTTCCAGAAGTCAGGAACTGCAGAGCAGGACTCAGCCCCGGAGAGGAGGGAGACTGACTCACCAGCTCATTAAGAACCATTAGGCAGTGTTTTAACCAGTCTGCTCTTCATTTATTGCACAGAGCCGAACTCATGTATTATCTTCCTAATGAACAACCTAAATGAATTATTAGGGGAGCTTAATACATTTATGACAACTGTATTTCTAGGGGCAGAATGYAGCAATATGTGGCTACACTGAATTTATTCAATTCTTCTCTTTTCCTTGCTCCTTTTATTTCTGCAGAAAAGGAGGGGCCACCGCCTTGAGGTCCCTTCCAAACTGTCTTCATGTCAGAGGCAAATCCTCTGCAAAGACAGGCAGCATCTTTGGGGAAAAAAGGGAGAGCTGTCGTRTGGGATATGTCTGCATACTCACAGCGTCTGGATCGATCGGAGAGGTGCAAAGAGCCCCTTGCTGATGGTCTGCAGTTTGTTGTCATAAAGAGATAGCAGTTTGAGATTATGCAGACCTTGGAACGTGTTTACCCTCAGGCAGTTGATCTTATTGGCATTGAGAAGCCTGAAAACAGAGGAAAGGTTTATAATGCAGTCATCTTGCAATAATCAAATAGAGACAGACTGAACTTTGGGGTTGAATCCAAAAAGATCTCAACCCAGACAACCAAAGCCACCCCATATTTGAAGGCATTCATTTGCCTKCTACGTTAGAAAAATGCGAATACCACAGTCGACATCAGTACTTTCATACCCAGAGGAATATGCAGACACGTAACAGTGCTATCTAGCTTAAAATACATTACTTTTTTATGTACAACTCACCAGATTTCATCCAAATTCCACATATATGTTTAAAGAAGACGTCAGACAATATATTCTGCCAACGGAAGTTGAATCTACATAGGGATGGTGAACACTGCCTGCCTCGCTACTCCATCCATCCATCCATCCACCCACCCACCCACCCACTCCATAACGAGAATCTTCTTTCATCTTCCTCTACTAGCAGTTTTCTTAAATCTAAATGATGTTTCTGAAGTTTCATATATTATGCCAAGCATGCAGTGGTAACTTTACCAGGGAAGGACAGAAAATGTGATTCTGGAAACAGCAAGGATCTGGACTAAACCTCCTGAAAGGTAAGGTCACAAGCAGTGGTACGGGCTGCCCAAAAGGCTTGGGCAGTCTCCATCCTTCAAGGGTTTCAAGCCCGGGCTGGATAAAGCCCCCGAGCAACCTGGTCAGCCGTCACTGCTGGCCCTGCTTTGAGCAAGAGCTCGAGACGCCCCTTCTAATCTCACTCATCCTGCAATTCCATGAACCTACATCATGCCAGTTATGCCAGAATTGTGAACAGCTTTGAAGAGCAGCACAAACAGCATTTGGGCATCATTTTCCTTTATTCTGCACATCTACCAGTCAGTAGACCAGTCAGTAGAATTTAATCAGTTCAGTCATAAAATCTCGGACGGTACTACTGCAAGTTCTCCTATATCGCCTAGCCAGAATCCTATCAGCAGTGCCAAATACATATGGTCCTAACAGCAACCGGGAGCTCTCTTAGAGACCATCACACAGGAGCACGCACTGATTTTCATTGTCATCTACATATGTGCAATACACCACTTGGAAGGAAAACTGGTAGGAGACAACCTGCAACGAGAGAAAGGCTTCATACTGCAACAGTGGGGCTCGTCGGGTCCTCTGTACGGTGCCTCAGGAATAAATCAGAAGCAAATGCTTTTAGCCTTAGAAAGGAGAAGGGATTCTCTGCTCCTTTGCAAGCCAATACAGGATCTTAAACAGGAAACAAGAGAAGGTTGCAAGAGCGTTTGCCTCGCTAGCCCCCAGAAAATCACTACTCGTTCACTTGGATTTGTTGACACACCATGGAAAAAGCAGTTTAAAAGAGAAGGTCCCATAGAAGGTAGTGATGGACAAATAAGCTTTTTTTTTTTTTTTTTTTTTTTCATTATACAGAATCATAAACTGCACTGGTATGACCCTGCTGTAATTTATATTTTTGTGGCTGGTAATTATGTGGCACCTAATCCACACTTCTGCTGACTCCACCAGAAGTTACTGGGTGATTTTCACATTACGATGTAGGAGCAATTGCTCCAATGCATCATACAGTGAGATTTAGCTCCGACAGCAATGTCATCTTTTAGTACTTGCCTCTATAGCCCTCCCTAAGTCCAAGCCAAGGCAATATCCCTTCTCCTGGTGCTCATGCATTATACATTTCTCATTCAAGCCTGGGTCTTATCTTCTCCACAGAGCACAGGTGAGCTGGGGTTGAGCAAACGCTCAGCGTGGGCCTGGACACCAACTGCYGCAGGTGCTTGGTCCAAGCTCGCCGGGACCACAGTGAGCGTGTGGGATCTGAATTCCTTCTYTCATCTGTTTCCACAAAACACGAATAAACCCACTGGGTAGGGAAAGGGAATTTGCACAGCGGCAAGTTTTCCTGGCACCAATTTTGCATGACTGCTTCTATTCCATTTCTACCCATGGTGGTATCATCAGTGACACTTCTGTAGGGGTTAAAATACAAACCATGGAGACGCCCCTGTGCATGGGCACAGATGCACAGGCCCCTCTGCTGCAGCACGCWGGAAGGAGACTCGGACACGCAGGCGCACGGTGAGAAACAGGCGCTCGGGTAATGGGAACAGCACCTATCCTGCCTCTATGGAACACACTTCTGYAATACCTAAATCTAAAGAGGACAGACGGTAACTGAACTCAAAGTTATACAAATATGGCCATACTGGGTGGACCAGGAGATAATTTAATATGGTGTTTCTGATCAGAAATCAGTGAGATAAAACAAAATTTAATGAGAAGCTGCGAGAAAGCAGAATAACCCATCCTCTACCAAGTTTTCTTCCTGCTCATTGAAAGTTAGAGGATGAGCTTTGGCCAGGAGCCCTAATGTTTATATCCCCTTCAAACCTCTTGGCTCTATCAGAATAGCCACTYGGGATACTGCACTGGATGGAAATTCCAGGTCTTCGTTAAATCCTTCTCAGCTGTCACAGCCCCACTAATGGCAGGTAATTACTAATTAGGTCTAYAAGGTTGACCTTGCATATAGTTAAAAGTGATGAGAATTGATCTAACCTAACACAAAGGCAGATGAAAAAGATGCCTTTTGTAGCAATGGGAAATGCTGAGCTTGCTTAAACCCTGAACTATGTTCTARAAGAGACCAAAGGTTCATTCTCGTTGGGCTCACGCTGAAAGAAGTGACATTAGCCTTTCAGTTACCAAGATCTATTTTACTAAGCCCTRCGTGGTGTTTCTTTTGTGCCAAATTAGAGTGAAAGTTATTTCCACTAATTTTCCCTTTTTTGTTGCCAGCTCAATGGAGAGGGATTCACACTGAGCTTCCAGCTGTGGTGCAGCCTTCCTTGGGTGGATCAAAACTCAAGCTGCAATAAGAGCATGTGATACCTAGAGAGATGGTGGATCACGAAGCCGAGCCTCCCTTCCCATCCCCATGGACATGTCAAGGCCACGAAGCCAAGCGCAGCCCAATCGCTCTCCCAATGCTGCTTCCCAAGGGGGTGACTTTGGCCACACACTGAGATCCTCACGTGCTTCCGCTAAGCCCTCTGAAGGAGCCTGCACTGCTGGACCAGCTCCACAATTATATCGGATGCTCCTAAGCACCATCTGCATAATTAACATGGCTCCATAATTGAATTATATGCCCAAGCACAGTTTCAAGTGATTAACATGTAAATAWTATTTTGAACTCCAAAAAGAAAATGAATGGGAAAATTGCTTTTTTTYCCCCCCCTTTTTTTCAGATCAAGTGGGGACGTTGTGATGGCTTTTCCTCTTGACACAGGTGGTGTGTTCAGCTCGGTGAAGCCAGGCAATCAAACCCTCAGCACAGAGCAGCACAGGGTGAGCACTGCAGGGGCAGCCTGGCCAGCCTGGCGCTGCAGGATGGACCGGGAATCATCGCAGGGACATGAGCCAGCCCAGTCACGCAGGGACAATGACACCGTCCTTTCCATCCGCCTGGCCTTATGATGGGGACAACAGCACAAGGAGGATTAAAAAGCCCAACAGCACATCCAGTGTGCTCTGGGAAAACGGAAAAACACACGGGTGTAAAACACACGGGAGACTGGCAAGGAAGAGGGAACTGAAGTTGTTTGCATGGGTAAAAGCAAAACTCAAATATGTATTACTTTAATTGGACAGCAATAGCCTCTGGCCAAAGTCTTCACTTACATTCAAGGGCCTTATAGGAGAGCAGAGAAACGACTCAGTTGGAAGAAACCATTCCTTAKGGTTTATAATTCTTACAAGTTAACAAATTCCACGTTCTTTTTGGCATCTTCTCATGGGATTTGTAAGGAATCTAGAGCTGTGCTTTGCTTTAGCACAAGGATTAATAGGGGAAGCCCTGAAAAAGACCTCGTCCTTGGGACACGGAGCAGCAGCGCTGAGCCCCGTCTAGCAGCAGCCTATTGGCAAAACAACTATATGAGAGCCCAGGAGCATCTTGGAAGGATCCGGAGGACAGGGAGCAATCTGGCTGCCCCTCACGGTGTCCAAATGTCTGGGCAGCTCCTCAAATGCACATTTCCTATCGTGATGCCTGACCACCGGAGCGTCTGTCCGCTCCAGCTGGTAACCCTCTGTGTGAACTCCCTGCCTCGCTCCCTTGAACCAGCTTCAAGTGCCCCTCCATGTGCAGGAAACTGCAGGAGGAGCACGGTGCTGACAAATTTCTTCCAACGAAATCAGAACAGAAAACTCATGAGCTGAATAAGGAGCCAAAAAGGAAGCACCGAGCACAGCCTGGGAGTCTGAGTTCGGAGGGTTTTTAAAGGCCTCATTCCTCACCCAAACACTTGCAAGTCCCGTTGAATGACATGTGCACGACAACCCTGTGACCCTCATGGTGCTGCTGGTGAGCTACAAGCAGGCGTCGTCACAGCACCCGCAACCCCGTTACTCCAACGGCGCCCAGCTTGGGGCTGCAGATAAGGTCACAGCTGGGTTCACACAACCACGTCACAACCCACGCGCACYGGGCGCAACCTCCTGCGCTCCCAGCGCCTGTTTTAGTGCCGGGAGGAGCAGGAGCGGCCGYCGCGCGAGCCCGGCTCGGCGCTGGCGTCAGGGCGGCCGCTCAGCTCCGCGCTGACGTCCGAGCCCAGGGACACGGGCAAGGCGGCCGCGGCCTTTCATTAGGACCAGGCTGTAATTGCATTTCTGCGCCTGGCAGACGCTGCTCCCTCGCTTTAGCTGCACCTATTGAGTCTAGCAATCTCAGCGCAACGGCAGTCTAAATGCAGAAATCCAAGGGAAAAAAAAGCTTGAGRCGAACAGCTTGAAAGTAATAAAGCTGTTAAGCAGGGCTGTCCTGGGCTAGAGGGACCAAGGAATCCCGAGCAAAGCTCCTGCAGGGCATTTTATGTGAGTTTAGAACCTGGGACTGGTTGCTCAGGGCTTCCTTGAGACTGGCCTTGAACCTCCCCGCGCGGAGGCRGCGCGGGCTCCCTGGGCAGCCTCTTCCAGCCCCAGGCTCCTGCCCCTCTGCAAACGGTCCCGTGCAGCTGGAATCCCTCTTATTTTATCTCTCAGCCATGGCAAAAACGAAGAATTCTGTGGAACAAAATGTTATGCATCACTTAAAGATCACTATAGGGAGAGACTACTGTAGGGGGCTTGGGAATGGCAAAYTGGCTTTTTGCACTCTCGTATACAGATGGCATTTTGTATCACTGTCTAGTGCTAATATGTATATAACAACATTATGTATATAACACAAAAATACCAGAATCGATGCACATGCTTTAGAGCCATGCTGCATGTCTTCCTTTTTAAAATATTTTGCATAGCTCTGCGCTTCACTGGATTTGCTTTGAGCTTTTAACAAGCTCTAAAAGTACACAAGGAAGATTTGGCAGATACTATTTTAAGCTCTTAAGTACTGGAATTTGGTTTAGAATTACAAATGAGCACCAGCACTTCAGACTTGACAAATTTGCCACGGAATTATTTTCCAAGCAACCTCCCTGAAGAGATGTGGAAGCCCAAATATCTCACTATGAACCRAAGAAGAGTGAGCAAATAAAGCAGGTGAAAAGGAGAACTACTCAAATCAAAATTTGACTGGTTGAGTTTCAGGAAGAGTGATAAAAGCAATGGCTTTTGCAGGCACACACACAACTTGCCACTTTGCACAATTCTATTTTAAATAAAGGTCAATTGAAATAGAAAAGATTAGATCTAGTTCTAACTAAGCTTGGAAGATCAATTCTTCATCACTTAGAGTTACCTGTCACTATCTGGTACTATTGTCATTACTGGTCTTTTTCCAACCATGATGCACACCCTGAGTTCTCCCCGATGATCAAAGGCTTTATAGGCATAAAAGGAAAAATCTCTAAGTTTTTGGGTTAATTTTATGAGGAAGAGGAATACAACACATGACTGCTTTCCAATTTTATACACCCCCAGAGTATCAGGACTTCCAGCAGCATCAAAACAAGAGTCCAGAGCACGGATTCCTTCTTGCCCCCACAGCCTGCCCAAGCGACCACGATGATCTTGACCACAACACATAAGATCAACAAGCCCAAGCACTCTGATGATTGGTAACTATGCAAAATAAATTTGTATTTCCTCAAGGAAAAGGGTTTATTGAAAACTGATACTTGTCAGACATTTGAAAAATGAGGTTATATCCCCCTATATTATTTTGCTATATTTTCTCATAAAGCATTAGATTTTATGGTATCTTTGGCTTCCAGGAAAAGAGCATTATGAAGCATTCAATGTCTAGCTGTAATAAAAAGGCTCTTAWAATGTTTGCTTTAATATGGCTGCATGGAGCAAAGAGCATTTACTTGGACATGGAAAGGACGGGTGATGGAACGTGGCGCCCGTTATCCGCAGCTTCCCAAGCCAGGAACCTCCGTGCGCTGCATCCCGCTCCATGCACCGGCTCCCCGTGCAGCCAGTCACCCACCAGCAGCTTCATTTGTCACAGGGTGGCCAAAAAGGAGCTGAGCCAAGTTCAAACGTGCCCCTGCACAAGCCTGGCATGCGCAAGGGGCCCTGCCCACCCTCCAGGAGCCCCAGAAGATAAATGGGGTGGGGATCTGCACTGGTGGCAGCTTCCAGCCCCACCAGGGTGAGCGTCAGGCCAGCTGGGCTGGCACTCCAACTGCCAGAGGACTTCCTATTCTTCCAAYATTCAGATGCAGGCTCGACAAACCAGGAGAATTAAGCAACCACTTCTCCCCAGCTTGGAGGGGTTCTTGTGGCAATAAAAATCACAGTTTTCTGGAAAAAAAAAAAATTAAACCTACACCTTTCTGGAAAACAGAATAGCTCTCAAAAATGCAAATCAACTAAAATTCTCAGAAGACCCTTGATTCAGATACTAGATCTTAATGAAAAGAAGGGCGTGTGCCCATTGCACCAAGGCTACCACAGCCACCTYGAATCCTGTCTCCCGAAAACCTCACAGCACGTGAGGAAGGTGATGGTGTCCAAGAAACACTTCTGTCCCCTAGAACACACATGCAATGTGTGGGGGACTCGGCAACGACCTTTGCTGCTGTGCTGGTTACAGCTGCAGATTTAGGAAGAAGATTTGCGAAACCAGCAAATTAACAGAAATCCAATTATGTGGTGATGTGCAGGGAACTACATATATTACGTGGGGAACACGTAAGAGAGCTAATTAAGAGAGCTAATTGCAATGATGCCTTCAGAAACTGCATTTCAAATTCACCTCGATTGGGTTAAAACAATAAACAGGGGAGATTCTTGCCCGTGGCTGGGTGTTTTCCTGCCGCGTCGCCACYGCAGCGCTACCTGACAGCCAAGCGGGTCTGATGCTCTCAGCCTTGTGCCAAGTAACATCTTAATTGATACAGAACCTACCAGCACTCCTTTTTTTTTCTGGTGGTGTGTGCTGCCTTTCCATAATTCCRGTGTATTTTCAAAAATGCTTCATCTCAGGCTTAGGAAATTACGCTGGCTACCAGGATGCTTTAATCAGAGCCGCCTTATCACTGTGTCTCCAGACTAATAAGGAGAAATCCAATCTAGAGCCCACTGAACACTAAATTAGATCTAATCACAGGGCACTTTTCCAACTATTCAACAGCAGGTCTAAGACCAATGAATGCCATTTGTTTTTTAGGTATCCATTAAAATACTACAGGCAGTCCCATAATAGCTGCTTCAGAGCCATGATCTGCAAAGTGTGCAGACGTTCACTTGCATTTAAACCCTGCTCACTCAACACCAGCCTTGCCAAGAGCGACTCTGCATTCCAGATTTTCTCAAAAGCCATCGATGCCTCCGGAGGAACTGGCCTGGGAACTCTGTAACACAACCATCTCTGGAGCCTTCCCTGCTTACATGGATCTGCTCAGCTGGACATCACCCGAATGGTTTAAGTTCAAGACATTCAAACTGTTGTCTGCCATATAGATTTTGCCTCCTTTAACAAACGGTGTCACTTGAGCTAACTCACACTGAAAAATTACTGCTTAACTATTTAGCTCATTGAAAACCTACACTACGTACACGGAAGGACTATGGTGTATGGCACTGGAGACTTTTATAAGTCTCCACTTATATAAATAAATATGTCTTTTATGGTCTTACTTGAAACACATATTTATAGGAAACTGCATTATGTATCTTATACGTTACGTGATGCTTATTTTTTCTACTGGGAAAGATGCCACCTGTCAATATCCTGCTAGAGCAACTGTGTGAGCTTCAAACTTGTCACTGTAAAATCCTCGGTCTCCTTCTCAGTGGTCTAAGTCTCAAGCCGAGGTTTTGCCTTCTGCCTGCAGCTCCTTCCCAGAACCAAACACAACACGAGCTCRCCACCCTGTCCCAACACGAGCCAGGCCCCAGCTTCTCATAGCTTCCACGCTGCTTATTCCCACGCATGGTGCACCAAACATCCTCACTTCTCTTAGTGCGCACGCCGGGCTATGAAGCCCCTGCCATATAGCAACTTGTCAGGTACAGGACAGGAGAGAGGAAAGGAGCTGCCAGAAGAAGTGTGTGCAAAAGGCCAAGGCAAAAGAACTGGCTGTCTGCAGGAGGGGATGAACAGCTTGTCACCGTCGCGGCGCAAGGCCTGCCACAGCCAAACCATATGTGCTCTTGCTTGTCTTTCTCTAGGGAAGGACAGTCCGTGTTTGCAATTAAGATCTTATGGCTAAACTGCCCATCTGGCTGAACATGTAGAGCAACATCAACTATTTTACTGTAATTTTAGTTCTTTGGCTCTGATCCTAGACTTAGAACCTAAATCTACGTTTAATTTGTATAGCGTGCGAGGTTGGCAAGCTGCAGCAAAGACAGCAACCACACAGTGACACACACTGACTGGTAATCGTGAACTTCTGGGTTTTCAATTCTAGCTGYGTCAAGACAGTTAGAAAAACTTAAAATACTATGTCTAAAAGCTACATTTCATTATATATTTATAYATAACTTATTGTTTTGGGGCTTTATGTGTGTGCGCACATGCAGGTGTGCTGTAAACCAATAGAGAATAATTTCATATATTGCCCTATCTTTCCAAGTGCATCATCTGTGATGCTAAACAGACTATTAGAAATACAGACTGAACTCCACTTCTGCCCCMTCTAGTGACTGGCTGAAATAGAAGCTGATTTCCTTCTAAAAGAAGTTACTGCACTCCTGGATCTCAACCATGTGTTCAGTCACACATRCCATAAAATACCTGAATGCACAAATACATATTCCAACAACATTTGGCACAATCAAAACAAAGAACTAGGCAGGGCTGCTAACAGTAAGATCTTAAATATTGCCAGTTTGCTTCCACATGCAGGGATTTGCAACACAGTAGCCCTGGCGGACCTGGATATCCAACCACACATGCTAAATCTGTAAAAACAATCAAAATGCATTCCCACCTTTACATCAGCCAAATGTGACCAAATTTCCTTTCTTGGACTTCACTGAATCTCCCATTTCCTCCTTAAACTTCACTCTTCTGTGTCCATTATCTGTTACAAGCACTCAGCTATAAAACCATTGGCACCTTCTTTTTTTCAGCCCTTGCCTCCCTGGTGCCTGACATAAAGAACAACAGACCAGCTTGTCCCACAGAGTTTTCCTGGAAGAATGATTATATTAAAACCAGAAGCTGAAAAATCTGTAAATCTAGCTAGTGTGCAAAATAAAGATGAGGAAAAGATCGTACTCACAGCAGCTGCAGAGACACGAGATCATCAAAAAGGCCCTGGGGAATCTCTGTGATCTTGTTTCCATAGAGCACTCTGAAAGACACGGGAAGACAAAATAAATCTTAAGTAACCGACCAGTCGAGTGTCCTCCCACCTCTCTGCAGTATCATCTTTATTGATCTTGTGCACCATGGCCAGGATCTGTGGGCATTTCATTTAACTACTGATCTCATTTTCTTTTCAGAGAGCACGTGGTATTAAATSAGTCGTTATGATTCAGGCTTCGTCTGCTGTTGGGAAGCATTTTTAATGTAGAAACTGGACATCATCCAAAAGCTGTATCTAAAATATTTTTCATTCTGTCGAGGATTTTTTCACCCTCTTTAGAAGTGCTTTAACTATTAAAAGACACATTGCCTGGTGCAAGAACCTAGAGTTCTTGCCCGRTGATACCAAATTTAAAAGCCAGAGAGCACAAGCCCATTGGAGATAAAAATTTCATATAACTGAACCTCTCAGGACCCAATAATTGGCATGAAATGAGACACAGGTATCAYTGGACAAACTATTACAGCTTCACCAGATGCTATTACAGCTTGAACCAGCTAATATAAACCAYGGCCTGGAAATAGCCATATATTTCAAAAACTCAAGAGTAATTTCCATATAGTTTAGTTATAAAACAGGTGAAGATTTAATAACACAGATAAGTGTCAGAAGTTTCCATTTATTCAGGCACAAACAAGGACAGATATCCATGGGTGACTTCTTTTATTATTTAAGGCAATGCACCTATATAGCATCATCAGAATCAGAAGTAAAAGGCAAACCAGATGAAGCYGCTGTTAAGGTTAGCAGTGTTACGTAGGGATGGGAGCTGAGTCTGAGGGGTCAGGATACCACCATTCCTGGAGRAAATTGCTGGGAGGAGGGAAGGCCTCTTGGCTCCTCTGAAAATTCTCCTCTAAGCATTTTAGAAGACTTGAAAATGGGAAAAACAACATTGGTGATTTCTGCGTTGGGCTGAACGCGAGGTGAATGGCTGCAGACCAGCCCGTGGCACAGCTGTGTGCTCAGGTTAATGAACTAGTTTCATTCCCCAAGTTTCTGCTGCAGAAGAGCAATGAATCGGGAGGCCGTGTGAGGTCTGCACGCTGGCTGGAATCCTAACGTGCTCTGTCTTTCAACATTTCAAATAATCTGCCCAGTTGAGCATATTGAAAAACAAACACTTAGCAAACCGGCCCATTTASAGCCTCCCCCGGCCTCCCCAGAGCGCGCTCGTCTTGGGTGATTCTTAGCAGTTGTTGAGGCAGAACTGCCAAAGCTCCCACATCGCCTCATTTTGGAGGCTAAATAAAGCCATGCTAAATAAAACAGCACCACTAAGACATGACCAGCTAAATGTGAGACTTCATTCTCCATGTTTTGTGTAGCACAGCAGAAGCTGGACTGCTACCCAATAAGCTAATGCTCACTTAGCACTACATTTGCTCTAGAGAAATGTAACACAAATTCTATTCTAGTTTCTCTTGCTGAGTCAGGAGATTGGCTTCTAGTGCGTTGGTATGATTAGTGGGTTTTGTAATAAATACTTATTCCACTATATTTTCCTAACATTTCTGTATTTCAGCTGCAAAAGATGCACATCAGTGAGTCTGCTTTCCTCAGAGCCAGTGCGCCGAGCAAATTTCCTTCAATAAACACAATTTTTTTATTTTATCCACACCTACACAGAAATAATGGGTGGACTTTGAAAGGTCTGGAGGTTGCATTTAGGTAAGAGCTTCAAAACCAGAGACAAGTCTCAAGTCACGGGGATTTCACAGAGCTTTAGGACAACATTCAAAGGGGCAGCTCACAGGCTCCTTTGAGCTCACCAAGTGGCTGATGTGCAAGTCTGTAGCAGGAAGCAAGAGCAAAGCACTTGCAAATAAAATATTCATAGAATGGTAAAATATGAAGTTAATGCCTGCAGGGTTGAGCATCCTTCCCTTTCAGCTCCCACGCAGGACAGCATTTCTTTAGCTAGTGAATTAAGCTGCAGAAGTCCACGTGTGAGGACAGACTAAGGCCTGCCTTGCTCTGGGCAAGTTCCAGGATAATCGATGCTCATCAGCACCACARTATTTAAGAAAGAGATGAGAAGTGAAGCTTCATAAATGTTTGAGGAAAGAATTTGAACATTTCCCCCCTCTGGACGAGGAGTGATTCCAGCTCTGCAGCTGTAGCCACTCACCTAAAAGGAAATCTCAGCAAAGCCTCAACCTTTACACCTAGCACAGTTGTTAGCTTATGGTACTACCGAATGCAAATGCCAATCTATGACTGTGCTTAGAGCAATTTATCATTTACTTTCTTAAGAGTAGGAAGGCTACAATGCAGAGTTCCACTGAATCTGCAACCTTGGATGATTGTATGCACCTATCACTTTAAACAAAATAAAGCTCTTTAAAATCGCTTCTAACACAACACAAAGCTTCCATTTCTAGAAGCCACGGAAAGAAAATAAGCATTTCCAAACCTAATTGGGCTGACGTGCATGTGGCACATTAACATTCAAACAAATTAGCAGCTAAACAAAAGTCAGGATGAGAGCTCAGGCACTGATCTCTAATTCATATTCATGTTCAGCACCAGACAGAGCCAAATTAGCGGCCGCCTCTGTGTGCCGGCCGGGCCAGYCGAGTCGCCCAGCCCTCCAAAAGCAGCACAGAGGAGCTGGGAGAYACACGTGGCACTGCCTCTTACTCCCTGTTTCCTTCTTCTTTAACAGGAAGCATGGGAACTTCTGCTCTCCTCCCAGCTATTATGTCTAAGAGTAAAATGCTCCCCTCTCCAATGCTTCAACTGATGGAGAGAATTTTTAGGAGATCTTTTTTCTCTGTGACAAAAGAATTGCAAACCTCCCCATCGACTGCATGTCACTTTGCAAAGACTGCATGTCTCTTTGCAAAGCTGGAAACCAGTTTTGTGTGGAGAAAACGGTCAGAAACACATGGATCAACTCCACTTCAGAGGCCGCTTCCCAAGCAGGCAGCAGCAGGGCCTGGGCGCACACACTTCTCCCTGAGCCTCTGCAGTCTCTGACCATGACATGTTCAGGAACCTCCTGAAGAATTTCAAGGAATTTGCACAAATATAGGGTGTTCCACGTGCACCCAACCTTGCCAAACCTTCCCTAAGCGTCCCAGCAAGAACTGTGGTGTTCTCTCTCCTTTACAGCAYATGCAAAGGTAGCTGCACCTGAGCCACTTGGTTAAGTCGGATCCGGAACACTAAYGCTTTTCCCTGGAAGCTGATTCGGAGCTCTTTTGGGTCTGAAAGTCTTGCACTGAATCCCTCGCTCTCAACCATGTGTTTTCCAGCTATCCATTCCTTTATTTTGGCTTGATGGAACATTCTTACTGAAGTGTCAAATTCTGACTTGATGCAATGGTTTTTTCAGTCCGCAAAATGCTTTTAACTTTCCTTCAGACTGTGAAAACAATTCTTGTTAGGAAGAATTATATTTCCCAAGCTGAATACAATGGCACAGGCTCAATAAGAATTTAAGCTTGCAAAAGAGGAGGAATGGATTGGGGTAAAAACAGCCATAAATTTTTAATATCTGAAAGAAACTTCGACATATGATGTTTCTTCCTGCGCTATTCCATATTTCTTCCTACCAAGTTAGGCTAAATAAATCACAGCAAAACTCTCCAAAGCAATTTGTTACTTTAAAATAAGTTTGGCAGTTATTGCAGTAGACAGTGTTTTATTGCTCACTGCAAATCACCAGGGCTGACACCGCATCCCTCAGCAGGCAGGAGCGGAGGGCTCGGCGGCGCTGCCGTGCCGGAGCCACGCTCCTCGGAGCGCCTCCATCCTTCTCCATTTCAACTCGGGGTAGGAAGGAGGGGGAARCCCTCCCTCTCCCTGCTGCGGGGGAATTGCACAACTGAATTGCAATTCATTCATTCAGTTTAACTGAATTAACTGAATAAAACATCCTCTGGTAAGACACACACGACAAGCCTACTGACCCCCAAGAAAACCTATCTTTGACAGCATTAAGAGCAGCACCAGCGCTCATCTCATACAATCCCCTCACTGATACYCAACACTGATTTTCCCCGATGAAACCAACATTAATTTACTTTAGATGAGGCTGTTCCCACCTTGGTAGCGGCTTCATGGCAAGTTCTCCACAGCTCTGGCCTCCCACAGATGGGTCCAGGCAGAAGTGGGATCCTCCCACATGGATCCTTTGGTGCAGAACTCGCTTTGAAGCTGGGATTGTGCCCAAAATACACTCCAGATCCAAGCCCCCAGTGGCTAAATATAGCCAGGGAACTTTGGGCACTAAAGCAGAATTAAATCTGCTGCTGAACACACAGAGCCAGGGCGCAGGGGTGACTTAAAGGCACAACCATCGTGTGGCAGGATGGAGGCGAGAAGGAAAAGCCAGAAAAAATATTGGGATGAAGAACAAATGTTCTTAAAGGCAACAACCTCTCCACCTTCAATTGTGCTCACATGTAGAAAAATCAAAATTGTGACAYAAAACTAGCAGTGAAATGCTCTTCGCCGTATCTAGTTTTGTTGTAATTTCTTTTCTTTTAGGAAGAAAAGAGGAACAGATTTTCCTTAATCCACATGGTCTTCATACGCATAGGGAACAAAATACCACTGGGAAACGGCCTGGAAAAAGCTCTTATTTTTTAACTCTGTGAGTGGGGAATGGGGAGCCCCGGGGCCCCAGCAGGAACAAGTTCCCCTTTCTTCTGCTAAGTGCTGAGAAACCCCAAGGCAGAAATCGCTGATTTGAAGCATTTGGATTTTGGGCCTGTTTTGCTCCCCAAGGTATGAGATCTCTTGAAAAAATTTATAGATTTAAAATGAAAACTTATGACCTGTTAGCATATGGATCACTTAATGCTTTTAAAAGATTTACATTTTATACATTTGGTGGGATCTGCTGCTGTAATAAACATTCCTGTTTTGAAAACTGTAATACTCTGTACTTTCCTCYACCTCTACATAGGTGTAACAGCAATTCTGCCTGGAAACACTAATTTAAGGTGAATCCAGAAGAAAGGAGAGTAGTAACCTGCTAAATATAGGTCTCCATTAGCTGGCTAGGCTAAAAATATTGGCCCTCTTCCAGATAGGCACTTTCACACTCCTGGACCCACAGGGAGCCCTGCAGTTGCAGGCACTGAGGGAGCAAAGGGAGGAGTAGAAAATGGGAATTCCGCAGTGAAAAGCCAAGGAATTTAAGCAGTGCTCCAATTTTCATGGGAACAAAAAGCTTACTTTCATTTGTGCGTGACTATTTCTCCCTCCTTTCTTCCTAACTCAGCTAGCTGAAAAAAAACCCAGCTGTTTGGTGCACAAATTAAACCTCCACGGTGTCTCATTAAAACGCCTGCCACCGGTCCCACTTACACACAGGCAGGCAGAGCTCCTTGAGGGCTCCATGAAGGGATTGGGCCTCCGGCACCAAAGAACTGGGAAGATACTGGCAAGGAAAGCGTCTGGCTTCGCTGCTTCCTCCTTTGCGTTCCCTTCAGAGCTCCCTTGGAGCAGGGGCACTTCAAAGGAGCCRCCTTCCATTGTACTTAACTATCGCCTGCAGCTGGAGACTGCTAAAGCCACCAAGGGCCTGGGAAGCAGCTCTCAGCTGCAGGGAAAAGCCTCGCATGAGCTACCTGAGTGAGGAGCAACAGGAAACCCTTCCAGAGGGATGAAAAGCCCCCAGCTTTATCCAGCTGCAGCAGGCAAGAAACTGAGGCACCAACTAATGCTGAAGAAACGGCAGCTGTGCAGAGGCAGCTCCCTCCTTTAGTCCTTCCTTTGCTCTGTCTCACCTCTGGGAACCTGGGAGACTCACCTCTGTCTCTTGCCTCACCTCTGGAGTTGGGAAGCAAATCCCAAGGGAAGTGCCCTTCCTCTCCAGCTTGCTCCCAGTCAGGTTTGCCACCAGCAGAAAGCACTGCAGCATCAGCAGCAGTTTCATAACATGCCAAATGTGTGGTGTTCAGTAAATAGCAATCACCTATTGAATCGTTTCCAGATCGTGCTGAGGGATTTGACCATTTCCACAGCAGACTGAGTAAAACAGCTTGAGCTATTCAGCAAAGGCTACTAACMTTTTTTATATATATATATTTCTAGTGTTCTACCAGCTGGATTCAGGGCATAACAACAGGCCCATCTTTCTGCATGCTGCTGCCTCACAAGTTTACTGCAGCACGTGAGTTAAGCACTGAATAGCCTTCTAATATGAGCACTGCTCAACAAGTCTTTGGTATTATCTAACATGCACAGAATAAAATGATGGCAGCTTTTAAGAAAAAACCGCACTTAAATAAAACAGTCTTAAGCAAGTATTAATAAACATTTAAAAACTGTACTTAAACAGGTAAAATGTAGGTAAAAGCCCTTCCAGTTGAGCTTAACCTGTTCTCCCAATCTGGAGCTCTTTCCAACAGTCTTGCTTGTGGCTCATTTTCCATGTGCAGCTTCTGACCTTGTATTGCTCTCTTCTACCCATTACAAGCTTCTCCTTTTAGCACTGCTGAGAGTAGCTAGGGTGAAATGCAGCAATGTCTAAATCCAGCCTGGTGCCACAACAGTTTCTATGTTCCATACGAACAAAAGTAACGGCTGTCAAGAGACCCTACTTTCCTCTTAGCTTACTTCCAAAGTAATATTTTAATCCACTTACCAGCTTAATAAAGTAGTAATTACATCTAATAAATGTAAACCTCCTCATTAGAGTTCTTCCCCAAGTAGTTTGTGAGAAAAAAGGTGCAAGCCCAGTTCTGCACAGTACAGAATAAATAAATGGCATGGATGTAGGTGTCCTCAGCCCGGCTCTGCTTGCCCCCATCGAGTGGGGCCTGAGCTCTGTGATGGTTTCTGCACACTCTGATAAGCTGGGGCCTGGATTAGCCTGCAGCTGCACATGTACAACAGATAGAGAGAACGAACCAAAGCGAAGGCTTTGAAGAAGGGAGCAAGTAACCAACCTTCAGGGTGTTCATCCATAAAAGAACTTACTAGAGTTGTATAAACACTTCCTCCTTCTAGCCTTCGTGACCAATTTTTCATGCACAAMAGATTAGATGCTTCACACAAGCTGGCAATTACACACAGAAACATAACTTCTCCCAGRCAGCACATAATCATTTTTCTTTTTCTCACATGCAAGCTTTCCCCAAATACCCATTCAGTTCTCTATTCTACTTACAGTGAAATGAGAGATTTCAAGCCTTTGAATGCGTCAGGAGCAATGTCAGATATTTGATTCTTGCTGATGTCTCTGTAAAGAGAATTAGGAGGAATTAGAAGAATATTTATAAACGGGAATTTGGAATTTGAAAATGAGTATTATATCTCGAAGTAATTATTTGTATTATGGTAAGGTTTYGGAAGAGAATATTTTGTTAGACAAAACCAGAACTACAAGGTCATACTATAGAGGAATTACAAATAACATAAGGACACAGAGAAATGGAATAATCAAAAGGCATGGAGTAGGCAGCAGGACTATGTTTATCCAAGTTACAGAGGAAATCTTTTGGTAAATGAAACGTAGTATGATCAAGAGTTTTATCTTTATAAACACCAGAAACATGTAGTATAGTTAAATCACACAGAATTCCCAGCCAAACTCTCCAAAGCTCCTTAAGGATTAGTCTCAACTTACATGAACCAATATTATTTATTCTTAGGTTGATGTTTGAGGTATAACTTCTGTTGGATACCATTTTAATTAAACCCTCTGTTTTCAAATTTAGCTACATAGARGGGGGTTTTCTTCGCTTCTCTCGTAAGGCTCATGGAACAGCTGCTGTGGGACCTACTCATGTTTTCTATCAGTGGCCTCCCTACAAGGACATCATTCAGTAAAGCTTTGTGGTTCTTCAGCTCAGCTCACAGCAGCTGTAGTAACGACAGCGAAAATGCAAGTATTTATTTTCATATCTTTAGTGAAAGATGTTTAGAAGGTCTGTTAGTTTTTGCTGCTTTCTGTCTACTAATTCATATGCAAGCTCAAGTCTGACATGAAGATTGTGCTATCAGTGTATCGAGGACCATTTTAAAATCCATTACAGTGTCATGAAATCATGAGTTTGCTAACAGGGACAGGCATTTGAAAAGGGCCATTTAGCTCCGGACACAAATATTTCAGCACTGCTTCATGGGTTTGCCACGTTCTGATGTCTGCATCCTTTCTCTCCCCACGCCAGGATGCTAATAAGTGTGTAAGTAATGGTGCCTGAACTTGCATGAGTGCCGTGCTGGGCAATGACACTCCCCCTCTCCGTGCAGACGCACTACAATCAGCATTATAAGGTAATTAGGCACATTATTTCCTTTCCATTAGAGCCCGAGCTCCACTGCYGTTGGGCAAGGAGGCTCCATCTCCTTCAGACTGAGGCACAAGGATCCAATTATGCCCTCGTGCTTTTGTTCCCTCCCACGGTCTGCTGCCCGGTTAGACCATCCCGGTTTGCACCGAGACAAACGGACACAGGGCTYGGCAGCCTGCGTGACTAAGTGGCCGTGGGTCACACCAGGCTCTCTGCCGTGGGCCCTGCCAGAATCAAACAGCGGAACCAGCAGCAATCCAGCCACAAATGCACTAAATTCATCAGGATTCCAGCCAGGCAGGGAAACCACAAAGGATCTCCCCCTTCCCAAGGCTGTTTAACTCACCTTGCAGGGGCCCCGTGCTCTGTTACCRCGCACGGACACAAATTGGTTTTGACTTTGCGGCACGGGAGAGAGGATACCCCAGGAGGACACATGGCTGCATGGCAAAGACAGCCACTGAAATATCTTTACTGTACAAGGTTTTGAAACAAAACACATTTATTTTTAGCTGCAGCCAAACGCAAAGCTATTAATAACATTGCATGGATGTTCTCTGTGTTGACTAGCGTTATTAGAAACAGATTACTTGATTATCTCTAACATTTACAAAGGACTATTCTCCTTTGACAAGAGTACTCAGTGAAAATTCATGGCATATATGGTCTTGTTTTTAGAGGCTGCTAACAGAAGCAGCAGCACCACAGAGCTACTTGGAAATCTCAGCCTGTTTTCTGCTAAGACAAAGTAAAAGTAATTGGACAGTAACAAGCCCCATTACAAGCACCAGAGCTACAATCACCTCTTTGAAAGCGGCTTGATGTACCTGGCTCTCAGGCCTGTGCTACAAGGCAGTCTTTTAAGGGCCTCACAAATAAAGAAACAAATAAACAAACAAAGAAAAACACAAATAAACACAAATAAAACGCGAGGGAATGCCTGAAATCTTCCAGCTGCTAGGCTAGGAGTTACAGAACTACGGCACGAGCACAACTGGGGATATATAAATGAATTCAACATGCCTTGTCTGGGCTGGGTTGCTCCACACTATGGTGACAAGAGCTTCCAAGGCTTGGCTGACCAACCATATGCTAATGTTATCCCTTGAGTACTATCAAAATAGTAACAACAAAAATAATACAGTTCTTCATTTGTACCCTGGGTGAGACATCAATCCATGACACCAATAATCTCCATGCTACTGCACCACTGGTTGAAATTAAAGTGAAATTAAAGTGAATGAAAAAGCCAGAGGCTGCAGTGTCACYGAACATGTCTTGCTGCTCCCTACCAGGGAAAGAATGTATAAATCTCAACAGGTAATTTCCTAACTGAGTATATTCCTGTGAAGGCAACACCTTGCACTCTGCAAACATGATGTCAACAATCTCTTCCAGTAATGGAACAAATACCATAAATTCAACTTCATGCAACAAGAATAACAATGGATTCAAGGTCTCACTGTTCCCACCACCACCACCAAAGYCTCAAGAAGGATTCAGATCAAAAATAAACCAGGAAAACATTGTATTTGTTACGGGACCTTCTGCAGCATAACTATCTAGCCTGAGTTCTTCTACAAAACACTGCCACTTTAATCAAGCTTTGATACATAGGTCATCTGGCATAATAACTTATTAAATGTGACTTCAGATCTCCATGATTATGTTAGTAGTATTCCAGAAACCTGTTAAGCCACCTCACTGATGGAATTCTAGAGTAAACTTCTAATATTAATAATTTCACTTAAGAGGAACACTGGATTGAGCAGCTAGTCAAGTTAAAGAGCTTTTTTTGGTTCAGTCCCATAAAACTGGAGTTCACCAATCATAAAGACTGAAGGGACAGTAAAACACTGCCAAAATCTAAAATTAGTTATATCTCAGAAAGAACTGAAGTAGTGATTTTAATGAAAGAGTCACTGAAAAGGAATCCATCATTATTCACTGAAATTACTGTCTTGCTATCTAATACAGTACTTCTTTAAAAATACATACAGCTATATTGAAAGCGAGACAGARGAATAGAGTATCTATGAGATTGATGATTTGACCCGTTAAATATTAAGATCCATATTTACAGCTCTTCAGCTCTAGGAACTGCAGGACTTTGGGCTGGCRAACACTGTGATTTTACTCCTAAATCCAACGGCACAGCTTGGCTCATTCCAGTTTCCAAAAGCATTAGCTATCTGATGATCCAGGATCTTCTGCGAAATGAGCTGACACTTCCTTAATTCCAGTATTGTTCGCATCAGAAAACAACAGTAAAGGCRACTTTATTAGTAGTCTTTGCAATGAGCTACCAAGACTGAATTACTTCTCTCATTTCCACGACTTACCCAAAGGTGCATGTCTACCTTTTGATAGAATGGCAAAGCAAGAGAAATTAATTTTACCATTATCTGCTAGACAGGACTGCTGTCACAACATATATCACTTAAAAGTAAAAAATAGAAAGGAGGAAGAGYAGAGGATCTTCCCCTGCTCTGGTTCTTTGTAACCCAGGTTAGCTTGGGTTATCTGCATGTGAACACAAGTGATTTTTTATTCTAATCCAGAGAAGCAGCACAAGAACTRGTAAGAAAGAAACTGTCTAGGCATCTATTAGTTATTAAAACATGAAGGAAGCAAGTTCCAGCAGCTTGCTTTGTTTTCTTGTAAACAATCAGACAGCTTCAATACCAGGACATTGAATGCACTAGGAAAATCTGAGCTACTCTGCAGGGACTTGTACTCCTGCTGTAACTGCTGTCAACAGACTTGAAGGGGTGCAAACAGAAACCAGAATGAGAGAAAGAAACAAAACAGAACTAAAACCTTTTCTGTGGAGCTGGATTCAAAGGTAGATGGAGTAACAGCAATTAATTAGCTCATATTGTCCGCAGCAGAAAGTGAATCTGAGCATTAAGGATTTCATGCACTGCTAAACATCCTGGACCAAACCCCGCTGTGGCTTATGCTCTGAAGTGATTATTTGTGTAATCCCCACCGATTCCAACAGAGAAATTGCCAATACGTTTGTAAGAGAGAGAGGCTGAACTTGAGGTTAAAAGATTCAAGATTACTCTTGCATGTGAGTCTTCGTATTAAAACTTACATTCTCTTAAGTTTCTTGTACTGGGTAAAAGCTCCAGGAGGAATGACTTTGATGAGGTTTTGTTCCAAGCGTCTAAAAACAAACAAAGCAATATATGCATTAACTACACAACAGGAGGAGAGGAACAACATCACACATTATAACAATTTTTTAACAAATATGAAACTAGGTTTTATGTGAAACAGATTTTGGTTTTGAAAGCCACTAAACTGAGAAAATACTTTTAGAAATTAAATGGTCATTTACTACACCAAACTGTAAGGAACAACAGTCACAAACTATGGAATTTGCATATTTAAAGCTCATTAAGTGAATAATAATAATWAAAAAAATATACTGTATTAATGCTTAGTTGAATTTGAAGTAGAAAATAGAGATGTTTTCCCTGAGCGTCAGCTGTAAACAGAAGGCAGCTCTCTCTGCTGAAGGCTATGCTATGTTGTGGCATCTTAATAAGCAGATTAATAATAATGCCAGAAATCTTAATAAGCAGATTAATAATACTCCCGGAGTGACTTTGGTGCAATAACCTGTGGGAACAGGCTGAAGTTTTTTCCCTAAATGCACAAATTGCATTAACAATGTTCTTGTGAAACAAAGTGGAATCCACAGCAATACGAGTTCAGATTTTTCATGTCTTTTGGGGGCAAACCAAGCACAACAAAATGCAGAGCCAAGGACACTACTTGTTTAAGCAACAAGTAGTCAAGGTGTTTTAAAGTACGGTTGAGGCCTAAATCAAAATGCGCTTGTTTTCATTGCTGAGCTTGGTTTGGAAAGAATTGTCCTTCATAAACAAACATCCGTGCACCAATCAGCAACGTAAAATAGAAATATCTTTAAGATACAAAATATAGTAACCACTGAAATGCATTTGTACTTCTTTCACGTAAGTATTTTCAAGCCTTTGTCAGTATGTTCCTAAACTCCTGCTAAAGGGATTATCTTCTCCTCAAACGAACCCCAAATATTCATCTCTATCAGAGGTATCGAAGTGGACCCCTGTACAAGAAATTCACATGACCACAGCAGACAGCATCCCACAGCACGCTTAAAATTCAACGGAGAATTTGATTTTATGAGACTCTCATTTAGTAATTCACTGCTGCTTTTCCAAAATCGTCATAAAAAGAAGCAGTTCACATTGCAAAATTTCTGTTTAGAAATCGCATAGAGCTGAAACATAAAAACCTCAGAAGAGGGAGTGATGACATGAATCCCTCGAGCCATTTAGAGCTGCTGCAACAGGGCAGAGGGGTGAGAAAGAAATTAAACCAGAAATGGAGTTAGAATGAGAGGTCATGAGGGGTCAATCATGTTTTTTGAAAGATTTAGGAAGAATGGAAGGAAGATGCATGAGGTCCATGAGGCCTCCAAGCACTGCCTACCCCTGAGGCAATCTGTGCCTTTGGCAGGCAAAGGAAAAGCCCCCTTCCAAGCAAGGTATCTTGCCAACTCGGTTACACTCTAAGCCACCAKTTACTCCATGATTATTCTGATACTTGCACAGTCARCRTGCACAGTTGTTTTTGTTAGCCTATTTTCAAGCCTGTGATCAGGGTTAATTCTCTTGCTTGTTTAGCGATTTGAATCAGCAGCTGAAATTCCTCTTCCAATTTGTCTACATATAATGCACTCTATTTCTGGCAAGCCAGAATATTGATATTTGATTTACTGATATATTATTGATATTAGTATTTTTTGCTGTCATCCAGTCTCATCTCATAACAAAGTGTTAAAGCTGATGCTGGATTGGAAGCCTCTAGGAAACACCGGGTTTTGCCAGAGGAGGYGTTCAGGTTTTCAAGGTGATGAAGGCTTGGTTATAAACCACTGCTGTTCATGATTTAATAGAAAATGCTGCTCGTTTCAAATAAAGAGGAAAATAAAGTTTTTTCCTAGTCTTCTTTTTCTGCAGTAGTTGAAGGTTGATCTAAATTTCACAGCCACAGCTTCAGAGAGAATTATATTTATCTAGTTCATCTAGAGTATGGACCCTGGAAAACAGCATTTTTCACCCTGCGGGCCGGAAAGTGCTAACTTACACTACAGAACAACCACACAGAAACATCGTCGAGTTGATTTTTTGTGTGTCACAGGAATAAGCGGAAACTTAACTTCACAACACTAAGAACAAAAGACAGTCCCCAAACAGTAAAATCCCACTGAACGTACTGTCCTTCACATCTTGCATTTCTTACAACTCACTAAAATTCTCCCCAATGTTTTTCTGGTATTTCATATAATCTGTTTAAAAGATTCAACGGGTCAAACTTAGAAAACCGATGAAATAAATGGCCCGGTCCAAGGCTGCTGGGCCCTCACTGTGTTCGAGCACTGCCCGCTCTGCCGGGGCTCTTTGTTCAGAGCCTCGTTCAGAGGTTTCCACAACAATATCCAAGGACAGCAACAATTTTATTTCTCCTCTCCAATGTATTATCAGAGATYGCAAAGTCAGAGGGCCCAATGGATGCATTTTTCTTGCGGTAATGTGACAGCGTGCAGGGTAAAACCCTTCTCCTTCYCCCTCGTGCTCAAATGACTTTGCGGCACCGAGAGCGAAGCAGCAGCACCGCAGAGAAAAAAAAAAACCACGGCGAAATGACCCAGCTAAACATGACAAACGATGGCGCAGCACAAAACGAGCGCTGCAATTCCCACACGCATCCGTCTCCGCGCTCAGCGCTGGGCAAATCCTTTTGTCGCCTCCTCGGYCGGCGCCTCGGCTGCTCCTCGGCCCTTGGGAGAGCCCCGCGCCCTCCCCAGGGCTCCGGAGCCATCCGTCTGGCAGAGTGATGCCCACGCCGAGCGGTGCAGACAGCCCTTCTCATTTGGGCCCTAACTGTGCCGTTGCGGGAAGTGATGGATTTGCTCCTCGGGGCGCTAATGGGGCAGGTTGCCAGTGACTTTCCCACTTCTCGGCAGCTCGTGTGGGGTGTTTGGTCACGCCTGCCTACCCGTGCCATGGACATGGCTGGCGGGGCGAAGCCGCGAGCGAGGCCTCGCGCGGCCCGTTCGCACAGCCCTGCGGCCTCACGAGGGGCTCGCGGTCCCGTCCTGCCCGGCCTCCCTGCGCCGCCTCCCAGCCGCAGGGCTCTGACCAGGGACGACCCAGCGCCTGGGCACATGAGGAGAGGTGTCCACGTCCTCACCATCCCCTGCCCGCTGCTGCGGGTTAGCCCCTGGCCTGGGAGAGCTTCCACCTCAGCCGCAGGTTCCACTGCTGCCATAACCCCCCGAAACACACAGGGTTCTCCACAGCTTTCACACCGCTGCCCTTCACCACTGCGTTTGRAGGACTTCCAAATAAAATTACTAATACGTTTTATCAAGCACTCTCCTGAGCACCTCAGCCTCTCCACCTGCAGAGCTGGAGCGACTGAAGGGCCTGCCACAATCGGCCTGGGCTGAACACGAGCACCTCCCTCCCTCTCCCCAGGTTTGGGGCTCACATCCAGCTCCTGCTGTAGGTCCAGACACCACGGGTGGCTTCTCCCCCAGCTAAGGGCAGCGGCGGGAGGCAGATCCCCCTCAGGGTAGGGGGGACACGTGGTCCTATCCATAACAAGTCTTCTCCTCTCCTCCTAGCACTACGACGGGCTATTCTCCATGGGCTCAGCCCTTCTGTCTCATCAGCCAACTCGGAGCCTGGGGCCTTCTGCAAATTAATTTCAATTTTTGGTGAAAAAGGACATTGTTTAACAGATCATCGCATTCCTTGTCAGTAGTCCCAACCACTTGGTGACCCCTATTTTTAGTGCGCCTTTACAAGCACTGACAAGGAAAAAGACAAGAAGTAGGAAAATTGAAGAACTTTCTGGCAATTTGAGTGCTGCCACCTATAATATTTTGTGAACAAAACATGTTGTGCCATTGAAGAGAAACATTCCTCAAATCTGTCGGCCTTCACATAACGTTTCTTTTAAAAGACAAATAGATTAAACACATGTAAACCAAAAGCCCATTAGTTTTTTTTTTTTCATGCAGCACTAAATGTGATTAGTATATTTTATTTCTAAGTCACGATTTTACGCTCCATGTTTTATTTATTTCTCTGATTTCTTCTACACCATCATAATCCACTTTTGAGACATAGATGCTCATTATAAGATATAATCTCCTGATTTTGCTTAGCAAAAGAGAAGGTTTTGAGGGACACTGTTACTAGATAAAAAAGATACATGGCTTTTTGTTGAATTTCCTGGTSTGTGACGGGTGATACGTGGTTAACCAACGTGATTACTTGGCATAGCTCTGCTATTGCCCTTGCTGTCCATACAATTCATTTTTATTAACAGGGATAAATTTATGTTCCTGCTGAGCTGAAATGTCATCTCTGGGAAAACAAAACACCAAAAACTTAAAGCCTGGTAGGACTGCTGACTGCTGTACCGCTTGCCTGAGTAACATTMATCTGTGCATAATATCTTAGAAATGTCACAATTATAAAGAGGAAAGCACAAACTAAGAAATCTATAGAACCAACAGAACGAAAATAATTATAAATGTATAAAAGCTAGATTTATCAAAAGCAAAATATCTTCTTATGACTAGTAATGACATTAGTTGTGTTTAATTTTAAAAATAAAAGCAAATGCACAAAAATAAATCTTAATCTAACAGCAATAACTCTGCAGTAATTACTTGTTTGTAAAACTGTGGAATAGTATTTCTATTTTTATTAACCTATCTCAGTACAGAAAACATGTTTATTTTTGACATTTCCAATGGATTTATATTTTCTCTATTTACTCTGAATCTAAAATATTTCCTCTACTATTTTTGTGCTTTGCTCTCATTGAATAGAAGGTCTTATACATAAATTTGACCCAACAATAAAAACCGCTTTTGGAGTTTTTAGATGCCAAGGAGTCAATGCTAAAACTTGCCTTGTGAGATCCAGAAATAAGTAGTCAAATTTGACATGTGAAACTGTCCAGAGCCAATTTACAGCAGAAAATGAAAATCATATTATATGATTCAACTACAGGAGCCAAACTGATTCCCTCGCCAGAGAACTCGCCACCAGAGGCAATTATAGAACATTTATTAGTGTTCAAAAATACTGTGTTGGCTTAAGCTACAGTATTTACTGGAAGCCTGGGAAAAATACTATAATGTTCTTTTAGAAGGAAGAACAATATAAAAAGCAGAATTGTCTTTCCTCTGTCCCCAAAGTTCAGAGGCTTTATGTGCATACATTCCTGGAAAAAAAAAAAGAAAAAGGAGGAACACACCTGCCGTCCTAAACTGACCTCTCCAAAGACAAATATTAATGCACATGAAATAGTTACAGTGCAGTTAAATTGTAATTCATACAATAAAATTTTTATTAGAATAAATATATAGAACGATCTTTTTATGATAGCTTTTCTGGCTTTATTTTAATATAGAGCAAATTGATGTTGCATATGCTAGTTATTTACTTCTAGAGGAGGGCCTTAAGAGTATTTTGCAGTTGTGTAACAATCATGAAAGCTGCATCAAGATTCCCAACTTAAATCACAGCTCTCCTATAACACACACTCTGAAGACCAGAGAGGGCATTTTCTTCCCAGCAGAATCAGTGAAGCAACAAAGCAAAAAGCTCCTCTGTCGCTCTGTGACTCCATCTGCCATCCATCAACCCTGCCCAAGTCTACTCATGACAGCAATTCTCTTAAAATTAAATTTGTCAAAAAATCATTAAAGCTATAACGAGTAGAAAATTACATGTCAAAGGGATTCTCTAAGAGAAAAGCGAGTTTGTTTTCATTTTAAGAGAACCATGGAAAACCAGAAGTCAAGGTTTTTCCTTCACACCCCGTGAATGCTAGCATTTTTTTCCTATAGAAGTAGAAATTATGCATCAAACGCATGCATTTTCCAGACCTACAGAAGTCTTAGTCATCAGTAAATCTATCAGTAGTGAAGATGGGAAGTTAAAGCAAGACACAGAAGTAACTCCAGGCTGCCCTTACACCAACCTAGGTCTTGAAAGATGGGCTGCCATCCTATTTTACTCTTCTCTCTGCTGAGGAGCCAGGCTGGACTGTGGTTATTAGCTGAGCCGACACACGTGCCAAAGCAGGACTTTTCCTCCAGGGGCTGCCAGCCTCTTCCTCTCTCAGGAACAACTGCATCAGGTTTTATACTGAAGCTCCTCACTTCTGATTGAGATGGTTCCTATCCAGCATTACTCTGGCTTTATGCAGTTATATTTCCCTTAATCTCACAAGGGCAGACAGCAGCATCAAGGTTAGGTGAGAGTGATAAAGCAAGCTTGACATGGAAAAGCACAAGTTTCAGCTCCGAGAACACTTTGAACATCTAAGTATGCCTTTCAGATCCAGGCGTTAGACAGAGAGCCACAGGGGCAGGTTGCAGCTTACAAAGAGCAGTCACTCGGCCCCATGGCTGCTGTGTCCTGAGCATGAGACCACTAGTCTATCCATCACACCAAGCCTAGAGATGCTCATTACCATGGGGGGACCAGTCTGGGGATGACTTTTATATTGAACAAGCCCAGAGCAACCTCAAACAAACTGAATTTTTGAGGGCAGGTATGACAGAGCTTGGACAAAACCAAATCGCTCTCTTGGTTCAAGGCAGTGATGTAAGCATTCTTCCAAGAAAATACCGTAGCAGCATCTTCCATCTTTCCAGACACATTTTTTTTTTTTTCTACTGTGAGAATATTCCTTTCTCAGACTAGATGAGACAATGTGAAATACTCTGCCCTTGGCTTCAGGTTGATTGATTGCTCTTTTTGACTCTTACTTTTACAACATAAAGACCATTGCTTTACCAACAGGAAAAACCACGTGGGCAAAGCCACTGGCGAAGACTCATTCTGATAGGACTACTTACACCTCTTAATATGTACTCCATAAAAAATGAAATCCTCCCAGAATTAATTCCAACAGAAAGTGAGCAAAAGATGTTTTCATTAKGGTTAGCTCATATTACGCTCTGAACACACTGCTCACATATATCCTTCCCGCAGAACTATTCCCACTTGGAATTCCTGGGAATTGCAAAGGTTATGTGCAGGATTAGAGTGATTTAGGAGTTTTTTTCTGTGGGCAAAGAGTRAAACAAGTACTGCCTAAAATGCAACAAGTTTGATGCATCTAAATGCTAAACCATGTGCCAAGAGCTTTATTTGGCATTCCACAAAGCTAGGAGGTTTTTAACCTCTGGATTAAGAGAGTTCCCCAAATGTTACGTGTATCTTGACTGGCATCCTCACTATCTGACGCCAACCTCGGCACTTCTGCAGATCTCCAGAGTCCTGGCATGGAGCCACACACATCTCCCGGTCTCTGCAAGCGTTTTCAGTGCTACTAAACATAATTTTACTGTTCCTCTCCTAGCTTAGCACTAATTCACGAGTTAAGTCTGAACCAACCTCATCCTGTTTCTTATCATCAAGCCATCCTGGTCACATCTGACAAAGATATTTGTACCCTAAGTGACATAACTGAGAGCGGGATTAAATGTTTAATGCTCTTAGCATGCCACGAACAATTTATACTTTCAGAATAATTTACATCAACTCTCAGCAGCAGAAGAACATATAGCACATACAGCCACTTCCTGCATGTATAAAAATATGCTGGAAATCAGCACAACCAATACACCATGAACATCCCTGAATGCTCACTACAAAGTGAGCATTCACAACAGCCTGTGTACAAGTTGGTATTTCCTGAAAATATTCTCACATCCTCTAGATACTTTCCCAATAACATTATTTTTTCATTTTTTATCTACTAAAAAGAGATTCTTTTTATTTATCTATTAATAACCTACTATTGGCTGCTATAATGAGACAGCAATCAAAACAATTTTGAGATGAATCTTAAGTTGCAATTGACTTACAGGAGCAGTGGCATAGAGCAGCTCTCCAGCATCTTCATTGGCCAAACCCCTCACACGTTCCTGACACTCAAATATTAGATGACAGCGGGCCAGGCTACCCGAATAATTCATCTACATTTTGTCCCAGTGAATTCTGTGAGGTGGCAATATTTCTACAGCAGAGAACTACTACTGCTGTAGTTCACTGAATATTTCTGTAGTTTACTGTGAATATTTCTGCAGCAGCTACAGGAATAGCTGAATGAATAAAAGGGTTCTAGGAGGCGGTAGGAAGTGGCTGACCTCTGCATCGCAAACACCTGAATAGGAAAGGAATTGCTCCGCATTCCCTATGGACTAAACAAAAGCAATTTGGTTTCCTGTAATACTGTTTCATAACCATGGTAGTATTAAGTCATAAAAAACAGACGAGTACAACTGCTAAAGCCACACAAGACAAGCAMGTCTATAAAATCAGCATCTAGGCTCACCACACATACACACAAAGTCAGTAAAAGGTTTAAGAATTGGAAATACTGGAATGTGGGAGGCAGAAAACAGAGGTAAAATCAGCAGAGACAGTCCGTTCTGATGACAGACTTCACTTCATTGCACAAGCATCCTGCCTAGCCAATGTGAAATGTTCCCAGCTCTTGGAGAATTCATCAATGAAAAATGAAACAATCCTGTTGGACAAAACACACAGAAAAGRGTGCTGTGCATTTTCTATTCCTAGGCTTAAGACCTTAATTCCAGATTTGTTAGATGAAAATATGATTTGAACTAAACACGCCAAAATACTTAATCCTGTTTCAAGGTAGGGCAACGTCATACCATAATTCAATTCACATTAAAAGGACTAAAAATGGAGTGACACAGCAAAGCAGGCTGCATTACATTGGCACTTACATTTCCCAAATGTCCTCTGGTAGATTCGCTGGAATTTCCGTTAAGCTCCGTCCTCGACAGTCCACCACGTTGTTGCTGCAGGTGCAGGCAGAGGGGCAAGCGATGGAGCTGGCACTGCACGAGGGAGCTTCAGCCTGGGAACCTGCGGCGCAGCAGAAACACTGCACGTCAGCTCTGAAGAATGATCACCTGGGATTTTACCAATAAAATATGGAAGCCCCTGAATTTTCCWGATCCTTTTACTATATTAAGTAATAATTTATTTGGATTCAGTGAATATAATGTGCTATAAATCAATTGAAGAGAAAACGTATGGAAGATGATGGTGTTCTTACTCCACCACCGTCTCCACTCTATCATCATTTCTTTCCCTCATAGACACTTCTCCAGCYCCCTGTAATTTACTGTATCAGTTTATTTAAATCTAGCTTCAGAAAATATGTCCCAAAATCAAGCAGTATATCCACAGGTTGCCTTTCCAATGACTTTCATTACATAAACATCCACTGAGTATTTTTATGTACCGAGAGAAGGTATCAGCAAAGTCTTATGCTTTTGATATGAGATAACTTATTATGGTACAGAAACTGGAAATAAAGAGTTTTTTTTTTTTAGTACGATTAGATGAT